AGGGCAGTCTTCACGAGGAGGTCTGGTTGCGTCGTCCCTCTGCCTTCACTGGCTCTTTCCCTCCTGGGACCCAGTGGAGGCTGAGGCGACCGGTTTACGGACTTCGTCAGGCTCCTCGTGAGTGGCACGACACCCTGCGTTCTACCCTGTCTGACCTTGGGTTCCAGCCGTCTTCTGCTGACCCGTCGCTGTTCGTTCGTCGTGGCCCCACACCTTTCTTTGTTCTGGTCTACGTTGACGACCTTGTTTTCGCCACCCCTGACAGGGTTGCTTTGGCACACGTGAAGTCCGAACTGCAGAAGAGACACACCTGCACTGATCTTGGTGAGCTGCGCCACTACCTTGGCCTGCAGATCACCAGGGACAGAGCTGCTCGCACCATTACACTTTCACAGTCGCACATGGTGCAGCAGGTCCTTCAGCGGTTCGGGCTTCAGCACTCCACAGTACAGCGCACACCTCTTGCTGTTGACCACAGACTCACTGGACCCTTTCCTGACGAGCCGTTCGAGCCTAGTGGTCCCTACGCAGAGCTTGTGGGTTGCCTCATGTACCTGATGACTTGTACTCGCCCGGACCTCGCCTTCCCCCTCAGCGTTCTTGCGCGCTTTGTTGCGCCAGGGAGACACCGTCCTGTTCACTGGACAGCAGCTGTGAGGGTGGCGAAGTACCTAGCGACGACATCAGGCGTGGGGCTAGTTCTTGGAGGGCAGCAGTCTGTCGTACTTACTGGTCACTGTGACTCCTCTTACGCTGACGACGCTGAGACTCACAGGTCTACTCAGGGGTACTGTTTCAGCCTGGGTTCTGGAGCTGTTTCCTGGCGGTCCACGCGCTCCTCTTCGGTCTCGACCTCTACAGCTGAGGCTGAGATCTACGCTGGTGCCATGGCGGCACAGGAGCTGCGTTGGTTGACCTTCTTGCTCACCGACCTTGGTGAGCGGCCGAGCTCTGCACCGACCTTGTTCACTGACAACAAGGCGTCTATTCTCCTTTGTCGAGAGCCACGACTGGAGAGCAGAGTGAAGCACATTCACGTCAGGTACTTTCTTCTGCGAGAGTTGCAGAGGCGTGGACAGGCTCGCTTTGAGTTTGTGGAGTCCGAGGCCAACACTGCAGACATCTTCACCAAGGCGCTTCCGCCTTGTGACCACCAGAGGTGCTGTGTGCAGTTAGGCCTTGTTGACACTGGTTCTCGTGTTGCTTAGACTTGAGTGTACTGTTTACTTTGTTTTCTATATACCTCTGTTACTTCTTGGACTGGCCTTGTGGCCACTGTTGTTTGTGCTCAGACTGTGTGGTGACGTTGTGATCCACCCTGAGCTTCGTTTCTTGGACTGGTCTTGTGACCGTACTCGTTTGGTTCTGCTAGACACCCCTCACTTAGGCTATGGGGGTGTGTCAAATGTTGTAGCCTATAGTGAGGTTTGTCTTAGGGGGTACAAAACTTAGGGTTAGCTATATGTACCCCAACCAACATCAATGCATCATTCATTCCTCATTCTGACATATATTACTATCACAATATGAGAAGACCCCCCACCATTTTTTCCCGTAGTTTTCATAAGACCCTAGGGTCTTATATCCGGGTGATTACGGTAGAAGAACAGTAGTATATGGTCAGGGCGTATTTCTGCACTTCGGGTCATCAGCACTTCGGGTCTTCCGAGATTGTGGGATCCAATCGGAAAATCGAAATGCACCCCAATCTCTTGATTCCGAACTTCCGATTGGATCCCACAATTTCGGATGACCCGAAGTGCTGATGACCCGAAGTGCAGGAATGCGCCCTCAATGAGGCAACTTCGCTTCTGCCAGCCAATTTGGTCTGGTCCACGATGTCCACCGCCACCTTCGCCATCTGCTTGTACTGTGCTGTAACATTTTCACACCATGCAGCTGCCAGCGACTTGCACTGCCAGCCACTTGCAGCTGCACACCAGCAGTACACACTTCGAATGTGGAGAGCATTTCGATCCCCGCTAACATAACACGCACGAAATATACAGGATTGTACGAAATGCAGCACTGAGCTGGCAGGATACTGTCAAATGTCGCACAGACATTTCAGGATACCTCACCCTGTGCAGCCCTGACAATTCAGGGCAAATTATGATTTTCTAAAAACTGCCCTGAGGCCTCAGTGTACCCCCAAACGAATCTGAGGGCCTGATTAATAGGGTCATGTTGGGAGGGGTAGTTGCGTACATAAATGTCAGCATAGCGAGTTTGAGATACATATACGCAATTGCAAGGATTTAAGGGTTTCAAGACAGACATTTATGCATGCAAAACCCCTCCCATGATAACCCTAATTCTACACCAATAATCCACATATCGAATTCACATCCATTACAAGAAATCAATTGTCGACCACTGGTGCCGTAAAGGGCGACACAAAAAAATAGTTTTCGCATTTACAATTATAGTTTACGATTTTTTTAACTGTGCCTTTATGGTTATATTGTCTTTCCTTCCGTAACGAATTTCATCCTCGCCTGAGCATACGAGTCTCGCATACGCGAACGCAGGGAATTCAAGTTTCCCGGGTAACCAGGCCCACGACGGGCTGGGTCAGCCAGGCCCCCACCCAGCTGCATCATTCGGCTCGGAGCCGAGTCAGCGGCTGGTTTCTACAGGCAGCCGAGGCCCGGGGTCCCGGTCAGGAGCCGAAGGTCAGGGCCTCGGGTCCCTCGCCAGGAGGTTCGGGCGAGGTGGCGGTTGGCAGGGCAGTTCCAGCCTGGCCTCGCTCGCGTGTATGGGGTGACGACGGCGAGGGCATCGGGTAACGGGTTTCCTCTCGGCCCTAATTTCGCAATGGATCAGGGCCGAAAAGGGCTAGCATGTTTCGTGAGCTCTTATGTGGTATCCTTCTGTTGCCGCATGAGCAGTCCGGGCCTTCCGCACAAGCACTGCGAGATGGGTTTTCCTCGAAGGGGTCAACCCTCCCGCGGCCTCGGCGAAGTTTGCTGCCAACGACAAAACGGTTTTGCCAACAGCCCATGTTTTTTCCGTTCACCATGCCCAGTCTGCCCAGATTGCTCAGAATGTGTCATCCCAACCACTCATAAATCTTCAACCTTAGGGTTCACCCTTGCCTATCGTTTGGTATGTTTTTGTAGTGAGTTATTTCATTGCAAAGGGTTTCAATCTGCCCGTTATTGCTTATACGTCCCCTTATTCTACCTCGTTTTGCACGAGCGGTGCCTCCAGTTTGCCCGTAGCAGAAATTTCCCAGTAAGGTCCGAACGCACTAGTGGTGACGCGTTCTTGAACACTTGGGTGCACAAGAAATGCCACAGTACCAGGTTCGGTACACAACAACGAATTGGGAGGCTCGACATGGGATTTAAGCTCTATCATGTGCCTTCCTCGAATACTCCTGAAGGGGTTCAAGTGCCCCGAATGCGGCAGCAGAACGATACCTGTGTGGACTATCCTACTACAGTAGAACCTGACCTAGCGGGTTTCGTTAGCTCTACGTTTGTACATACTCACATCCCACAAGGTCGCGCCAGCGGTTTGAGCAACTGAGAACCAGACCAAGTTGACTCACCTAGGGACCGCAGACCAGCGCCAGGTGTCCCTCCCGACTCCCAAGTTCCCAACTTCACATGGCTGGGAATGCAACTGTGACTTGCGTATGCGATAGGCAATCTCAATAGGTCCATCCGATAGCAATAGGGTTACACTGGGGAGGGATACGCAGGGTTCCCGTCAAGGGTACTACCTGCGGTGACCTCCGAGGTCGGCAATAGTTGTCACCCCGAGCGAGGAGAACCACAGGAAACTCTCGCGTGACCCCATCGACACCGCTTCCAACCTTTTGGAACAAATCACCCGCGAGCCGCGCGTTCCGCGCTGTGAAATGCATCGCCAAAGGCGGTGCATTGTGCTTCTCTCCTGATTCGCTCGCTACTAGAGAGGACGAGAGAGATGTGAGCTTCCTGCCGCACGCGTGGTCCTTATCCACACTGCCAGTGAGATGTGACCTTCCTGCCGCCGGCTCGACTCGAGTCGGACGAGGCAGTGGAGTGGACCCACTGCCGCTATCGTATGATGGACCAGCTTTGCCACGGCTCATCCGATGGTGGTGGTGATACACCACCCGTATGAGCCATCGCAAGTGGATCCGAACACTGCCTAAAACCACTGGATTCGAACGCTTGGTGTCCAACTGATCATGATCCAGCTGCGGCGAACCACCCCGTTTGCCGGCCCCTTGCACGGATTGATATCGTGACGCCACGTGGCGGGGCGAGCCTTCCTTACGAAGGAAGAAGGTTGCACAGAGTCTGTGAGTCGCCGGGCCACCGAGGCATGGCTTCGTTGAGGCGACATGCGGTGCATCATCACACAATCAGCCGGTTCACCAGATCTGCCAAATCGACGGTCGCACTGCAAGCCCGAAGCTCCAGCAAGCCTCCGGAGATCGAGATCAGCCACTCAAATTCCAGTCTTCAGGGAGAGAAGCTCCAAACATGATATCCAGTCTCCAGGTCACGTCTCTAGATGGGCTGAATGGAGGGGAAAGTGGGACCTCCAGATTTATAATCAGTTCACGGGCTGCGGCAGTCTTACGAGAGATAGCCGTTCAGCTGTTTACACGCGGCCTAGTTGGCTCCCAGGATTGGGACAAACCGTCCCTTTGTTCACCGTTCGTTCACGCCTATTTACTAGTACATCAGTTTGGTGCTTAAGCAATTGTGATGGGCGGGAGATGGGGAGCGCGCGGCGGAGGGGCGGGGATGGGTGGCGGCAGGATGGGTGGCGCCGGGGATGGGAAAACCGGCGGCGCCGCGGGCGCAAATGCGACGCGAGAGCGCCGTCGCCGCGTGTTTTACTCGCTGGAAATGCAAGGCTCTTGTCAACAGCCTCGGAGGCTGAGCAGGAAGAAGCGCCAGCCAAGGTGTTCTTTCCGCGCGGCACTCCGGTGGACGTTTCCCTGCTGGATCTTCCATGGGAGGGACTTACTAGTAGTACCTCTGCCACCATCTCCCTCAAAAGGTACCGCTGCCACCATCTCCCTCCTCTCCCTCCTCTCTCTCATCTCCCTCCTCTCCCTCCTCTCCCTCCTCTTCCTCATCTCCCTCATCATCTCCCTCCTCTCCCTCCTCTCCCTCCTCTCCCTCATCTCCATCCTCTCCCTCATCTCCCTCATCTCCCTCATCTCCCTCATCTCCCTCATCTCCCTCATCTCCCTCATCTCCCTCATCTCCCTCATCTCCCTCCTCTCCCTCATCTCCCTCATCTCCCTCATCTCCCTCATCTCCCTCATCTCCCTCATCTCCCTCATCTCCCTCATCTCCCTCATCTCCCTCATCTCCCTCATCTCCCTCATCTCCCTCATCTCCCTCATCTCCCTCATCTCCCTCATCTCCCTCATCTCCCTCATCTCCCTCCTCTCCCTCCTCTCCCTCCTCTCCCTCCTCTCCCTCCTCTCCCTCCTCTCCCTCCTCTCCCTCCTCTCCCTCCTCTCCCTCCTCTCCCTCCTCTCCCTCCTCTCCCTCCTCTCCCTCCTCTCCCTCCTCTCCCTCCTCTCCCTCCTCTCCCTCCTCTCCCTCCTCTCCCTCCTCTCCCTCCTCTCCCTCCTCTCCCTCCTCTCCCTCCTCTCCCTCCTCTCCCTCCTCTCCCTCCTCTCCCTCCTCTCCCTCCTCTCCCTCCTCTCCCTCCTCTCCCTCCTCTCCCTCCTCTCCCTCCTCTCCCTCCTCTCCCTCCTCTCCCTCCTCTCCCTCCTCTCCCTCCTCTCCCTCCTCTCCCTCCTCTCCCTCCTCTCCCTCCTCTCCCTCCTCTCCCTCCTCTCCCTCCTCTCCCTCCTCTCCCTCCTCTCCCTCCTCTCCCTCCTCTCCCTCCTCTCCCTCCTCTCCCTCCTCTCCCTCCTCTCCCTCCTCTCCCTCCTCTCCCTCCTCTCCCTCCTCTCCCTCCTCTCCCTCCTCTCCCTCCTCTCCCTCCTCTCCCTCCTCTCCCTCCTCTCCCTCCTCTCCCTCCTCTCCCTCCTCTCCCTCCTCTCCCTCCTCTCCCTCCTCTCCCTCCTCTCCCTCCTCTCCCTCCTCTCCCTCCTCTCCCTCCTCTCCCTCCTCTCCCTCCTCTCCCTCCTCTCCCTCCTCTCCCTCCTCTCCCTCCTCTCCCTCCTCTCCCTCCTCTCCCTCCTCTCCCTCGTCGTTACGCCTTTCAGTTGTCCGGAGCCGGGACTCATAGCGCTTTCAGTGTGCCGCGTATAGTGCTTCAGTAGTAGTGGTGCTGTAACGCAAATATACTCACGCTGTACCAAAGTCTGCTCGACCGAGCATCCTACAGGACATGTTTGGGCGTCCGATTGCTTCCCCTGTCCAATCCAAGTTCCTCCTTTATTATTACATCCCTGTAACAATCCCTGTCATATGTACACATGCCGTTCATACATCCCTGTCTTTAAGCGAGTCGCCATGACTTTCATTGCCCCCCGCACCCCCCACTCAGCTTCCATCTCCGTCCCATTTAATCCAACCACCGTGGTGATCTCAACTCATCCGTCCCACTTCTGCCCCCATTTCCTCCCTACCTCAAACCTTCCCCGTCTCATCCTCCCTTTCTCCCCCACCTTTCCCCCCTTCTCCACCTTCCCTCCTTCTCCCACCCTGCCCCTCCCTTTTTCCACTTTCCTTTCCCCCACCCTCCCCCTCTCTTTCTCCCCCACTTTTTCCGCGATTCACCCCTCCTTCCACCATTCCATGTGAGTGAAAGAACCTTCTAGTACCTCTCCTTCTCCACCCCTATTTAATCTCCAAACCCCCTCATTGTTTCGTCACGTCCCCTTTCAGGATCGTCGCTCCTCATCGTCCCTCTCGTCAAATGCGCGCGACTCGCCACCACTGCTCCGTGCTCTTGAACCTGCTGCTCTGGCTAGCTTGCATTGGTAGCATCAGCGTCTACAAAATCCGCACAGTCTCAGCCCACGGCCTCAAAGGTACCAGTCTCTCCCCACCACTGCTCCGTGCTCTTGAACCTGCTGCTCTGGCTAGCTTGCATTGGTAGCATCAGCGTCTACAAAATCCGCACAGTCTCAGCCCACGGCCTCAAAGGTACCAGTCTCTCCCCACCACTGCTCCGTGCTCTTGAACCTGCTGCTCTGGCTAGCTTGCATTGGTAGCATCAGCGTCTACAAAATCCGCACAGTCTCAGCCCACGGCCTCAAAGGTACCAGTCTCTCCCCACCACTGCTCCGTGCTCTTGAACCTGCTGCTCTGGCTAGCTTGCATTGGTAGCATCAGCGTCTACAAAATCCGCAAAGTCTCAGCCCACGGCCTCAAAGGTACCAGTCTCTCTCCACCACTGCTCCGTGCTCTTGAACCTGCTGCTCTGGCTAGCTTGCATTGGTAGCATCAGCGTCTACAAAATCCGCACAGTCTCAGCCCACGGCCTCAAAGGTACCAGTCTCTCCCCACCACTGCTCCGTGCTCTTGAAGCTGCTGCTCTGGCTAGCTTGCACAGCTATCATCAGCGTCTACCAAGCCCGCATGGTCTCAGCTCACGTGGGCCTCAGCGGTACCAGCCGCTGCTAGAACTCAAAATCTTAACCATGGGTGCTGTTGTGCTTCCTGGATCACTTGCATGAGAGAAACTGCACTTAGTAATGTTACTAGGCATCCCTTTTCCTCCCCTCAGTAACATCTGGTTTTTAGTACTGTTACCATATCAGAAACCAGGTGCTACTAGTCATCCCTTCTCCTCCCCTCTCCCCCCCACTCCCTCCAGATTGCGCTGACATTTTTGCAGCAGGAACGGCTCTCCCATCGTCTCTAGGCACAGAGAACGAATGCGAAGCAGCAGGCAGAAAAAAAAACAGAGGTGACCTTTGAGTCGACTCAAAAGTCTCCTCCCTCTCCCCCCCACTCCCTCCAGATTGCGCTGACATTTTTGCAGCAGGAACGGCTCTCCCATCGTCTCTTGGCACAGGAACCGAATTCAAAGAAACAAGCTCAGCAAAAGAGACACCCTCACAATACAAGCGAGAGGAGGGGGTCTGTTGGAGCAGGGCCGAAATGGCATGTTACGCGGCCATCGGAGGCGCAGGTTACGCCACAAGCAACGCCGCTGAGTCGCGCACGCAGCCCCATGTGTCCGGGGCGCTTGAGACGAAACTGCGACAGTACCATCTGTATCGGTGAGAGTGCCTGCGGCAGGAGCCAATGCCTCAGCTGCGAGCCACACTGCTAGCCGGCAATGCCACTGCCTGCCGCTACTTGCTCTACCACCAAAGCAGAGACGGGCAGGGAAATCGGCTCATGTCTCTCATCTCCTCGTTTGCGTACGCGCTGCTGACAGATCGGATTCTGCTGCTGGTGTCTCGTAGTGGCCCTGCTACAGAGTTCTGTGAACCGTTTGAGCATGAAGCGTCGTGGGTGCTGTTCAATGGGTCGGAGGAAGAAGGGGAGAATTATGCCAGGGTGCTTCGGTTTAAGGTGGCTAAGGAATGGAGGAGCGTGAGGGAGGGAGAGGAGGGACAGACGCCAGGCGCCAAGCTGCCACCAATGTAAGTTCTGTGCCATATGTGCTGCGCCATGCCAATGTTTGTTGTTGTGATATGGCATTGTTTACCATGACATGCCATGCTACGAAGCTCAGTGTGTCGTGTGCGCTGCGCATGGTATTGATCATCGCATGCATGTGTTCATGTTTTTCCCGGTTCATCCGTTTTTCTTGTCATACTATATTTGCCTTCACACATGCCTTGTACGCTAAATTGTTCTCATAGCCTTTACAAAGCCTATCAAAGCTCCCACCTTCCCTCTTCCTCAATCCTTGTGTTGCCCTCATCCACTCCCTTATTCTGTTTTTTTTTTTTTTTTTTTTTTTTTTTTTGTTTCCATCCCCATCGTTCCCACAGGCTACGTCTCGACATCAACCAAGCAACCACCTCGTCTGGCTTCTTGTTCTTCTGTGAAGCAGAGCAGCAGTGGCTCTCCCGCACGCCCACATTACTCCTCACCTCCAACCAATACTTCCTCCCCGCGCTCTACCTCCTCCCCTCCTTCCACCGCCTCCTCCACCTCCTCTTCCCAGCCCACATGCCCTTCCGCTCCCTCTCCCGCCTGCTGCTCTTCCCCCGCAACCGCATCTGGGCGGGTATCACCCACCGGTATCACACCCTCATTGCCCCGGCGCCGGCTCGAGTCGGCCTGCAGGGGCGGTTTTTAACACATGCAAAGGAGAGCACAATAGCATTCTACACTAAGGGTATGGGGAGTTGCCTGCTGCAAGCTCTCAACTCCTCGGCTGTGCAGAGAGCCAAGGGGATTCGCCTGTCCAGGGAGGGGGGATTGCAGGGGAGGGAGGGTCCTTTTGAGATGGACAGGAGACGGGGGATGCGGGGGGGAGAGGGAGGAGGCGAGGCAGGGAGGGGCACTAGTGGGAGTTCTGGGCAAGGGGTGGGAGGTGTGGCTGGGAATGGTGCGTTACGTGGTGGTGGGTTTGATCCTATGACTAGAACAGTGAGTGATGGTGACAGGAGCAGTGGAGGTGGTAGTGGTAGTGGTAGTGGTAGTGGCAGTGGTGGCTGCAGCGTGGGGGGTTCATGGGGTAACTTGACAGAGGTAATGGTAGCTTCACTCAACCAGTTCTTAGTTCATAACCTCTCACAGGCAGTGACGGCCGATGTGCCTGCAGCGAGAGTGACAGTAGGAAGTGACGCTGCTTGTGCTCCCACAAAGGAAGATTTTTTGGGCAGTAGCAGTACCGCCTTACCTGCCGATCCTGCTGCTGCAGATGCAGCTACTGTACTTCCCGGTATAAGCGTGGACACTAGCAGCAGCAGCGGGGTTGGCAGCAGCAGAAGCAAGAGCAGCAGTGGCAGTTCTGGGTATGGGGTGCACATAGTGCACTTGACTGCAGATGACAAGGAGAACCAATACGGCATCAGTAGACCGAGCCTTTATCGACATCTACACTCTCGCTCTCTTCTCCGATGCACTTATCATATCCAGGGCTTCTACTTTCGGTTACCTGTGCGCGTCCGTCTTTGGAGTTCCCCATGTTTCATTTGTATTCCTGCACACATGCATTCCCGCTGTTACCGAGCCCTGCATGCACTTCCCCCCCACCAATGACCGATGCCCCGACGGCAATCCACAAAAGCTGCAGCTGCTCCTAACTGAAAAGCCAGACACGCCCCTCATGGCGTGTGCGGACAGGCCACAGCTTGGCCTAGGCCTAAGGCCCTTGGACAGTGCACAGGATGACTACAACTACCATGCTTGAGGTCCCACGTCAAAGGGGCTCTGCCAGGCCTGCTTTGTTTGTGTGTGTGTGTGGGGGGGAGGAGGGGGGAGGGGGGGGGAAGGGGATTTTTTTTAAAGGTTAACCCTTTTCTTTCAGGGTTAGTGGCCAATGCACTATGATTTTCAGTGTTGTGTCAGATTTACAACATTACTAAGTGATCAGTGCAGGAAGTATATATAGCATGCAGCACTGTGGGCATTTACTATGTACGGTACTGTGCATTCCAAAATGTAAGCAGTTCCATAAAGGGGTGCACCTCCAGCGCACATCGGTGGGACGGACCCCTCTCTTGGCCTGACTGCTTGACAAACCACCTACCACTGCATGCACTGAGGAGGCGGTAGAGTGGTTTGACCTACCGTTGTGCAAGAACACCTGCTTTTACAGGGAGATTGTAAGGCGCAACATCTGCAAACATTCATGTTCTCAACAAATTATCTGGGTCAATCCCTGACCGCTTGGTGTTTTGTGGTTGAATGTACACATAGACGGTGATAGGCGAATGAGACGTGTAGCGGTTTGCCAGACAACAACGATGCACTGTTGGTTGGACAAGAACGTGAGGACCTTGGGGATTTCATTCCCCTCGTTAGGGTTGCGAAAACAAATCATCTTTCGCGAACACTTTGCGAGATTGACGGAACCAACAGCAACTCTTGTTGGTGCCTGCTCCGTGGTGCCACCGACGGAAACGGAATCGCGATGAGCTACGAAACGCGTGGGACGTCAGTGCCGTGCAGGTTTGGCGCGAAAGCAAGGGCAGAGATGAGGGCAGTTCACGAACCAGACCATGCCAGGCCAGGCCTGGCCACACAACAGGGCAGGCTCGAGGGCGGGCAAACTGCCTTGCCTTTCAAAACTTTGGGAATACCGAGCCGAAATCCGTCTGTGAGAGGAGCTTGGGGCAGCGAAGGATAGGGAGTGTCGTGCTGACAAGATGCCATGGCCATCAGTGGCTTGAGAGAGCTTATTTGTACGGAACTAGAAGCTTGATGCTGATCTTAGCTTGCTGACCTAACTTAACCCCGTGCTGTAATTAACATATGTTATTTATGGGTTATACGCGCTTACTTACCAGCAACGGATAGCCTTATTTTTTCGTGCATCCGTTCCTTTAGGTTCTTGTCAGGATTGTAATGCTCGTAGCGATTCGCGACAATGACGAGTCTTTGGGGTTCGCGACGCACGTCGAGACAGCTCACGCGCGAATCGAAACGCGAGAAAAGCAAAAGGCCCGAAGAGCCGAAAGAATTAGACTTGATTCGCCTCCAGTCCACTAACTCTAGGACTCGCAAGAAGGCGGAGCTTATCAAGAAAGCCAGCGATTCGCGACGCAGGTTCCACTTTAGAGAGCTCTTGTGTATCGCGATTCCGCCAAACGCGACGCTAGAAGACGGCCATCTGCCATGGCCGCTTTGTTCCCCACCCACCACACCGGACGCATCAGGCAGAGGTCAGTTGCAGACGCAATTGCCAGAAGTCAGTTACCGTTACCGTCACAGTCGTCCATTATGCGAGGTTGTGAAACGACTCAAAGGTTATTCAGACTTAGAGACTGTCGACTACCGCTCTTTACCACACGAATAGCCTACTTTCAGAGAAACCATCAGACGCACCATCAGTGGAAGCAGCATCCGCCTTGAACGCTTATAAAGATTTATATATACACTCGCCATGCCAAGCATTCTGTAGACTAATAACGCACCCGGCGGATTTGAGTTTTTAAACAGACCCATATGCTACTCTGGCCACTAAGACCGTGCTCTTGTGATTACGTTTTGCGCCTAGTCTTTGAGCGCCGCTGCTTAAACCTCATCTGGTCGTCTCTCTCGTACGTCTGTCAATATGTCATCACGGTTTCGAAGTGGCAGTGCGGAAGGCGACTGGGTTAGACGAGGTGATTGTTGAGGTGAAAGCTGCACTTGACGCCACAATTCCCATTTATGCTTCCCCAACTACCACAATCTCCCACTCTCGACCTCCCCGATCCTCCATCCCCCCTTTTCCCCTCCTCTTTCCCCACTCTCCCGACCTCCCCCCTTCTTTCCCCCCAACCCTCCAGGGCTGACGTGGTTCCCGAACGCCAGTGCGGACGACGATTGGCTGGAGGAGGCTGCTACGGCTTCTCACGCCTTGTCGCCGGCTCAGGTGCGCTGCTGGGGGGTTTGTTGAAAGTGTGAACGGGTAGAAGGGGGGGGTTGGGGGGGGGGGGGGGGGGGGAGGGGGGAGGTTTCGGCACGGAGATGTTTCGCTGTGAGTAGGGTTCTGAAATGGGGGGTATTAGTGGGCTAGTGCCGCCTCCCCGCCTCTTGAAGTGCCCTCATCCCCAATTTTCCATGTGCGCGTCCCCCTTCCCCGCCCCATTTTTACTCCCGCCCCCTCCCCTTTCCCTTCCCCCTCCCTCTTCCCTCCCCCTCCTCCTACCCCTCCCGCTCACTCGAACTGCCGACCAATCCGCTCTTAGCAGGCTGCGAGCAGCAGCGCTGTACCCGGCCACGTGCGAGAGGAGGTCGTCAAGATCGAGGAGATCTCTACAGAGATCGTGACCGTCCAGGAGATATCCACCGAGATCGGACGGCCAGCTAGGTCCGGCAGATCAGGGGCAAGAGCCGCGCGAGAAGCAGGCCCAGGCGAAGCGGAGAAGAAGGAGAAGAAGGGGAAGAAGGGGAAGAAGGGAACTAGGTCGAAGAGAGAAGCACAGCCGCCAGATGAGGCAACTAGCGCGGATCCCAGGCTGCCTGAACGGGTGCGGCCTGCAGGAAAAGATGTTTTGGTGCCGCAAACAACAGCTGAAGCACAGACGCCCAGTTCTAGCCCTGCTTCTGCTGCTGCTGGTGGTGCCGGTGCTGCTGGTGGTGCTGGTAGGACTGGGCTTATAGCTGGTTTGGCAGCAGGGGCAGCAGCAGCAGGCGGAGCTGTAGCAGCCGGAGTGGCAGGTTTGGTTGCGGGGCGAGAAGCCAAGCCTCCAGAAGAAGCAACCAGTGGGGATGCAATGGAAGGGGTGACAGGATCGGAAGGGGTGGGAGGTTCGGAAGGGGTGAGAGGTTCAGAAGGGAGAGTAGAAGGGCGGTTAATTGCAGAGGAGATGAGAGAAGACTCGAGAACGTCAGTGGCGGCCGAGCTGGCGTCAGGGGACACTGCAAGAGAACTTAGTAGTGTTGGCGACTTCGAATCTTCCGTACAAAGTCTGCCCAAACCAACAGCACAAGCAGCAGGAACAGCAGGAGCAGCACAGGCAGTACAAGCAGCAGAATCAGCAGACGCAATGGAGGCAGCAGATGCAGCAGACGCAGCAGACGCAGGTGAGAGAGGTGAAGCTGCAGAAGCAGGTGCCGCAGTCGCTGCTGCAGCCGGTGCTGGTGCCGGGGCAGCAGTGGCAGGCGCCGTAGTAGGAGGAGCTCTAGTGGCTTCTTCATCCCGAGAAGTCTCTAGAGACGACCCTAGAGAGCAATCCAGTGGGGGGTCGAAACGAGCCACCCCTGGGACTCCGCTAGGTGGGAGCTCACCAGTGTCTGCAGGGGAAGGGGGGAGCAGGCGAGAGGCGAAGGCGAAGCGGAACAGGGTGGGGGAGGGCGCGTTTGGATCAGGGGAGCAGCACGAAGGGGTGTTTGGTGGGGAGGTTTCTGGGGGGAGCGGGAGGCAGGGGAGCCAGGGGCGTGGAAGCATGGGGCGAAGCAGCGGCAGTAGCGGCAGTGGCAGAGACAGAGATACGCTCCTACAGCAGCAGCAGCAGCAGCAGCAGCAAGTGCAGCAGCAGCGGCAGCAGCAGCAGTCATGGTCGAAGCAGCCGCTACCTGGTCATGTTCCCGGCGGTGCTAGTGGTATGCCTCCCATGCGCAGCAATAGCGAGCTTCCCCCCCTCCCCCACCGCAGCACCAGCGGCCTTCCCCCCCAGCCCCTCCGCAGCAGCAGCGGCCTTGCTGCCCTCTCCGCGTCCACCAATAACAATCTCCTGCAGCGCGCCGCCACGGGCAGCGGTGACCGTTGGATCTTCCACTCTGGCGCCGATCGGGACCAGCTGGTGGAGTCGGATTCGAGTGATGACTCGGAGACAATGAGTGGGCGGCTGGAGGGCGGGTTGGGGGACTCGTGGGGGAGAGGGCGGGGCGGGGAGGAAGCAGGGCCGTTCAGAGTGGGAAGCTTGGCGAGTCAGGGGTCTAGAGGCGGGGGCATGAGTCCTGTGTCTGAGATCGGGGAGCAGGGAGCGGGTAGCATATCAGGGAGAGCGAGGGGCGGGTCATGGCATGGGGCCCCTCGGCCTAGCAGTGCGGGCAAGTCCGGGCGGTCGCGGCTAGGAAAGAGATCGCCTAGAGGGTCGTCTCTGGGGGCTGGGATGCTGGAGCGAGTAGCAGGCGGGACGGCGGACAGCAGAGGGAGTTTTGGCACAGGGGCGGAGATCAACAGAGCGAGTAAGAGCATGAGGGGTTTGCCGGTAGATGGGTTGGCTAGCGCTGGGGTTAGTGGGGCGTGGAGCTCGTCAGATGGCGAGGGGAGTGTGGAGAGGAGGGGGGCTGCAGCGGCGGCTCAGCCTGTGGTTGTGGGGTTTGTGGGGCCTGCTAGACCTGGTACGCCTGTTTCGCTGTCCAGGCTTGGGTCTGGGGCTCCTGTGCTGCGCCCTGCGACGTCAGGGGGTTTGTTGCTGGAGGATGTGGGGAAGTATGATGACTGGGTGGTGTATGAGAGTGAGGGGGAGGAGGAGGAGGTGCAGAGTCGGCTTGTGAGGGGGAGGGGGAGAGGGGAGGTGGAGAAGAGGGTGGTACAGGAGGGGGGGGTGGCGGCGGTTGTGGATAAGAGGGAGGTGAGGGAGGGAGGGCAGGCACAGGGTGTAGGAGCAGGAACAGAAGTGGCAGTGGCAGCGGCAGCGGCAGGGGTAGCGGCAGGGGGCATGATGGTTGGGAATGTGGGTCGGAGGAAGGGGGCAGAGAGGGACGTGTGGAGAGCAGGGGAAGAAGACTCTGATGACTCGGATTCAGAAATCAAGCATGAGGCAGGATGGGGGCCTGCCGCACAGCAGCAGCAGCAGCAGCAGCAACAGTAACGGATTTATGTTTACCAGCCAAGGGGGAGCGCCTGGGAGTGGGTTTCTCCCGGGGCAGGTTCAGCCCCACCCCGGTGCAAGGCATGCGCCTCAGCCACCCACCAGTCCCCGACCGTCGTCCCCCCGGCCTCTCCCTTTCGCGACTAGGTCCCGGTCCTCTGCCCCCGTTCCTCCTCACCCGCAGCAGCAGCTTCTCCCTCGCCCTGTCAGCCCTCCTAACGCCTCATCCTCCCAGCATGGCCCTTCCCAACCCCACCCGTTTTCGTCAGGAACAGCAGGTAAGCCGCGCATACCCCCCATCCCCCCCGCTTACGGTCACTCCCCTGCCTATGCCGCGCCTGCTGCTGCGTCTGCTGCTGTGCCGGGTTCCGCCCCACACCCTTTCGCCCCGGGTGGTTCTGCAGCAGCAGCAGCAGGGGCTGTGCCTGGGGGCCAGCAGGCGGGGGGACAGCAGCAGGGGCAGCAGCAATTGTGGGGAGGGTCTGTGGCAGGGTTCTTTGCAGGGGCAAGCGCGTTTGTGTTTGGGGCGAAGCATGACGGGCATGCAGGGAGGGAGGCAGGGAGGGAGGCGCAGCAGGGGAAGGATCTGAACCAGGCAGGTGATGCTGGGTCTGGGTTAAGGGACGGGGAGCAAGGGGGCTCTGGGGCAGCAGGTACAGGAGCTGTAGCAGGTGTAGCAGCTGTAGCGAGTGGGGGTAGTGGCAGTGGCAGTGGCAGTGGCAGTGGCAGTGGTAGTGGTAGTGCTATGCGCCCTCCTCGCCCTCCTTCCCTTGCCATTCCTGGAGCAACGGGTACAGCCACTAGCACTGGTGCCGGTCGCTATAGCACCCATGCACAGGCAGGAGCAAACGGAGAGGCGGCAGAACGAGAAGCAGCAGCAGCTGTTGCCGGTGCTGCTGCTCCTGGTGTGTTTGTGGTAGCGGAGGGGCATGAGGCTCTCATGTCCCCCATTGCGTTCGTTACAGTGTCGCCTGCTAAGAACACGGGGAGAGGCACAGACGGAGGTGCATTGCCAGGGGCAGCAGCAGCAGCAGCAGCAGCGGTGCCTGGGAGAGCGGTGGGAGGAGCAGCAGAGATGGGGGTGATGAGTCAGCAGCCCGCACAGGGGTACCGGCCTGGGTCGGGGCTTGGTGGGTGGAGTAAAGGGTCTGGTGCCAGGGCTGGTGGGGTTGGTATAGGGTGGGGGGAGGAGAGTGAAGAGGAGGAGAGTGAAGAGGCGGAGAGTGAAGAGGAGGAGAGTGAAGAGGCGGAGAGTGAAGAGGCGGAGAGTGAAGAGGCGGAGAGTGAGGAATCAGAGGAGAGTGAAGAGTATGAGGAGGAGGAAGAGGAGATGGAAGAGATGGAAGAGGAGGAGATGGAGTATAGTAGTGATGAGGAAAGCGAGGAAGAAATTGAGGAGGAGAGTGAGGATGGAAGTGAGGAGGAGATTGAGGCGGAGAGTGAGGAGGAAAGTGAGGAGGCAACTGAGGAGGAAAGTGTGGAGGAGGAGGAGGATGAGGAGGAGGATGATGAGGAGAATGATGAGGAGGAGGAGGTGGAAAGTGAGGATGAGAGTGCAGGTGCGTGGGTGGGCAGGCCAATACTGGCACCGTCACAGGGAGGCACTCCCACAGGCTACAGCGGCATGAAAACCCCCGATGCAATCGGAGGGATAGTTTTTATCAACGAGTATGGCGCCGCCCCTCCCTCCCCTGCTCTGGGGCCAAGTTCGGTGGGTACGGGAGGGGGGACGAGTGGGGCCAGCACGCCGTTGAGTGGGCGGGCTGGCATGGGAATGGGTGGGGGGAGTGGGGCGATGGGGGGTGGAAGCTCACCTGGTGGTAGGGTAGGGGAGGATGAGCGAGTGGTTGTGGTTTTTAACAAGTCGAGATTTTCACCTACTGCTGCTGGAGCTGCTGCTGCTGCTGGCGCTGGTGGTGGTGGTGCTGCTGCTGGTGGTGGTGGCCTGTTGGCTGACACTCAAGGATCAGGGACTTTAGTGGTGAGGATTGAGAGAGGTGTGGAGGAGGAGGCAAGTGAGGAGGATGAGGGAGAGGGTGGAAGCGAAGGGTGGGATGCAGGGGAGAGTGGGGAGGAGGAGGGGAGTGAGGATCGGAGTGGGATGGAAGGAGAGAGTGAGGAGGCTGGGAGTGAGGAGGGGAGTGGGTTTGAAGGGAGTGGTGAGGGAGAGAGTGAGGGGGAGAGTGAAGGGAGTGAAGGGGAGGAGAGTGGGACGGAAGGGAGTGAGGTGAGGAGAGGCAAGGAGGAGGACGAAGATGAGGATTTGAGCGCGGTGGAAAGTGGTGCTTCTGGAGGGAGTGAGGGGAGCGAGGAGGAGAGTGCGGAGGGGAGTGAGGAGGGGAGTGAGGAGGAGAGTGAGGAGGGGAGCGAGTCAAGCCTTAGCCCTGTGGGGAGCTCAGACGAGGGAGAAACTGAGTACGTGGGGAGTGGGGAGAGTGAGACAGAAGAGAGTGAGGAGGAGAGTGGGAGTGAGGAAGAGAGTGGAAGTGAGGAGGAGAGTGGGAGTGAGGTGGAGAGTGGGAGTGAGAGCGAGGGGACGGAAAGTGGTTCGAGTGAAAGCGAGGGGAGTGAGGAGACAGGGTCAAGTGATGACGAGGATGGAACAACTTTGGATGGCACATGGGACGGCACAATGGACGGCACGATGGATGGCACAGTGGGCGGCACACTAGACGACAGAACGCTGGATGGGACAGAGGATGTGACTCCAAGAGGGAGTGACACTATGGAGAGGACTTTCACTTTAGAAGAAACCGAGACAGCTGTTAGTGAGACGACGCTGGGAAGGACGTTGACAAGAGAGGGGAGTGGCACTATCGAGGGGAGTGAGCTTATAGAGGGGACGGATGCAATAGGGCGGAGTATCACGTTTGAGACGGTGGGGAGGACTGAGACGTTTGAAGGCAGTGGGACGATTGAGAGGAGTGGCACTATTGGAAGGAGTGACACTATGGAGGGGAGTGAGACTATGGGGAGAACCAACACGTTTGAAACGCTGGGAGAGACTGGAACTTATGAAGGCAGTGATACTATGGAGGGGAGTGAGACTATGGAGAGGAGTGGCACAATTGAGAGGAGTGGCACTATTGAAAGGAGTGACACTATGGAGGGGAGTGAGACTGCTGGGACGGCAGATAGAACTCTGACTTTGGAGGGAACTGATGTTCCGAGTGATAGTGAGAGAGGTGGAAGTAGGAGGGCAGACAGTGTCAGGAGCAGAAGTGAGAGGGATGGTAGCTCATATCAGGGGGATAGCTTATCCGAGGAGAGTGAGGAGAGTGAGGAGAGTGAGGAGAGTGAGGAGAGTGAGGAGAGTGAGGAGAGTGAGGAGAGTGATGGGACAGAGAGTGTGGAAGATGGTGATACTATGGGGGATAGTGACAGTATGGAGGGGAGTGAGGCGGTGAGCAGGAGTGCAGCGAGCAGGAGCAGAGGAGGGTACAGTGATGATGTTGTGCTTATAGAGGTGGTGACTGTAACGGGGTCTAGAACCAGTGGGACCCGGGAAGACTTGTCGAGTGTGCGAGGGATGAGTGAGATTGGGAGTGAGATGGGGAGGAGTGAGATGAGTAGGAGGAAGAGAGCAGGGAGTGAGAGAAGGGGGAGTGATACAGAGGCAACAGAGACGGAGGGAAGTGAGTCAGGCATGAGTGGGAGTGCGGAGAGCGGGAGTGAGGAGAGTGGTAGTGGGGGAAGCAGCAGGAGTGGAAGTGATGAGAGTGAGGGGAGTGAGAGTGAGGTTAGTGAGTCCGAGGGTGAAGAAAGTGAGAGTCACAGCTCAGCAGCGTCTGGAACATATGACTCCCACTCCCACTCCCACACCCACTCTCACACCCACTCACAGAGCAGTGAAGGGTCTGAGTCTGAAAGCGGCTCAGAGAAAGAAAGTGTTCACTCGGGTTCCCACACAATCAGCCCTCATACCACTCTCACGCGAGAGTCTGCTTCAGAGGTTTCTGCCTCCGAGGTTTCAGGGTCGGAATCTGGTGGGGGAAGGTCAGATAGTGATGGGGCCCAGTCAGGGGAAGATTCTGACGTATCGGGGTCTGAAAAGGTGTCCAGGTCAGATTCTCATGCTTCCAGGTCAGCATCGCACCGTTCCAGGTCAGCGTCAGATGCTTCAGGAGGAGCGGGAGTGAGCAAAAGTGGGACTGCTGCAAGCCGCAGCCCCTCTGAAGCTAGCCGAAGCCCGTCTGCTGCAAGCCAGTCTCCTGGCACAGAATCGTCTCCTAATGAGTCACTCAGTAAGGGGTCGTTGGGAAGCGAGTCCCAGTTGGAAAGTAAGAGTGGGTCTGATGGGAGTGGGTCTCAAGCTAGTAAGTCCCTGGCTAGTGGATCCCACTCTAGCGGGACTCGCGCAAGTAACTCTCACGCGAGAAGGTCTCAAGCTGGTAGTGGGTCGCATACTAGTGGGTCGCAAGGTAGCAAGTCAGCGAGGAGCAAGTCAAAGGGAAGCGGCTCAGAGGGGAGCGATTCGGAATATGAGGGCAAGAGTAAGGGGTCTGAGGAGGAGGAAAGTGAGGGGTCCAGCAAGAAAAGCAGTGAGAGGTATAGCGATATTGGAAGTGGGAGTGAAGGGAGCAAAGTGAGTGAGAGTGTGAGGAGTGTGAATAATGCTGCCGTTGGTACTATTAGTTTTACTGCAAGTGGTGCTGCTAGCCCTATGCATCAGCTTGGGACGCCGACAAGTGGGACGCCGACAGGTGGCGCTGCGTCATTGGCGGATGCGATGCGGTCGCCGGGATGGAAGAGACCACTCACCGTGAAGGTGGGGGGGAGCTCCCAAGAGCCTAGTTCAGAGGAAGAGGAGGAGGAAGAGGATGAGGAGGAGGAGGTGGAAGAAGAAGATGAGGAAGAGAGTGAGGGTGTTACTGCAACTGAGGAGGAGTATGAAAGCTCGGTTGAGGATGAGGATGAAGAGGAGGAGGAGCAGGAGGAGAGTGTGTTTACAGACGATAGGAGCTCAGAGGGAGAAGGGAGTTTGGAAAGTGACAGGAGGTCAGAGGGTGAGAGAAGATCAGAAGAGGATGAGGGCGAAGAAGAGCAGGAGGAGAGTGTGTTCACAGATGACAGGAGCTCGGCAGCAGGGCAGAGCACAGAAAGTGACAGGCGTTCAGAAGGGGATAGGTCAGAGAGTGACAGGCGTTCTGAAGGGGATAGGTCAGAGAGAGACAGGTCAGAGGAGGATGGGATGCCAGAGGGAGAGGATGATACGGAGGAAGAAGGAGGGGAGAGCGTTGGAAGCGAGGAGGAGGAGAGGGTGGCAAAGATGCTTCGAGCAGAGAGCAAGAGGCGGTTCGATGCGGTGCTCGGGCAGCTGAAGGGGCAGTTGAAAGTTTTGTTGAAGCAGGATTCACAGGGGAGCGGGCAGTCTGAAGGCAGTGAGGGGATTGGGGAAGGGAGTGAGGAGGGGAGTGTTGAGGGGAGTGAGGGGTTCGAGGGGTCTGATAGGAGTGGAGTGAGTGTGGGAGATGGGAGGAGAGAGGAGGAGGAGAGTGGGGAGGGTGAGGAGGAGTATGAGTCGGCGAGTGAGAGAGAGGGAGAGTCGCAAGAAGAGGATGAGTATGGTTCCAGAAGTGCGGGTGAGAGAGAGAGTGAGAGGGAGAGTGAGAGGGGGAGTGAGAGTGAGAGGGAGAGTGAGAGGGGGAGTGAGAGTGAGAGGGAGAGTGAGAGGGGGAGTGAGAGTGAGAGGGAGAGTGAGAGCGAAGGAGGAAGGCAAGAGGAGGATGAGGAGTGGGTGGAAGAAGAAGCAAGGGATTCGGTTAGGAGTGGTTCGGAGGAAGCCTGGGTGCAAGGCAGTGAGGAGAAGCAGCATGACTCAGAAGAAGGGGAGGAGGGGGAGGGGGAAAGAGAAGAGGAGGAACAGTACGGTTTTTCATCAGAAGATGAAGCCTCTGCTATGCCCGCGGCTGCAGTTGTTACTGCAGCTGCTGCAGCTGCCCCTGTTGCCCCACCTACTCTAGTAGCTGCAGCTGCCGCACCTGCCCCACCTGCCCTTACTGGCCTAGCACCCCAAGCAGCCCCAGCAATCTCAGCACCCCCATCACTCCCAGCAGTCCCAGCAGTTCTAGCTTCACCCACAACCCCAGCTTCCCCAGCAGCTCCCCCGCAGAGGTTCCACCACCCACAGCCGCCCACCACGCCCTCTCTGCAGCCGTCTCCACCCTCCCTCGCCTTCCGCCGTTCCTTCAAGCGTCCCCAGCCCCTGCGCCCCTCCTCCACCTTGCCCCTCTCTCCCCACCCCTTCGCCCAAGCGTCTGGGTCTGCTGCCAGCACTCCACAGAGCATGGGAGGGTCCTCTGGAGCTTCCACGCCCCGCAGTGCCACCGCTGCTGCCACTGGTGTTTCTGATATGGCTGGCTCTCGCTTTGCAGCTGCAGGTGAGTCTCCCTCTCCCTTTTACCGGCCATCGTCGCCCGCTTCTGCTTCTGCTGCTCTTGCTTCTTCTGCTCTTGGAGCGCCTGTGTCTGCTTCGCCTGTTGCTGCCGCTGCACGTGCTTCGCCTGGAATTGCTGCCTCTGCTGCTCCTCTTGCTCCTGCTGCTGTTGCCTCGGTTCTTGCTCCTCCTGCTGGTGCCTCGGTTGTTTCCCCCCCTGCTGCCTCTGCTGTTGGTCTCTCGTCTACAGGTCGTAGTGCGGGCTCTCGACCAACGCAAGCAAGCAAGTACCACACGACGGGGCTGCCAACCAATCAGGAGCGTCCAGCTGGACCTGCTGCAGTTAGCCAAAGCGTGCCAGAAGGAGGAGGAGAAGCAGGTCTGGCAGTGGGAACTGCAACAGCGCCAGCAACAGCACCACCAGCAGCAACAGCAGCACCGGCAGCAGCAACAGCACCGGCAGCAGCAACAGCACCGGCAGCAGCAACAGCACTGGCAGCAGCAACAGCACCAGCAGCAGCAACAGCACCGGCAGCAGCAACAGCACCGGCAGCAGCAGCAGCAGCAGCAGCAGCAGCAGCAGCAGCAGCAGCAGCAGCTGCACCAGCTGCACCAGCTGCTGCCACTTCGGCTGCAACTCTGGCTGCATCTCCAGCAGTGTCTCCCGCTGTGTCTCCCAAGCCTAGTACCAGCTCCTCTCCCTCCCGAGGCGTCTCTTCTTGGACCTCCCTCTTCCGCCCCCTCTGGGGCACCTCGCCTGCTACTGCTGCTGCTGCTGCTCCCGCTGATGGCGCTGCCGGTGCTGCAGCTGTTACAGAGCCGGTCGCTCCTTCAGCAGCAGCAGGGCCTGCAGCAGCTGTACCGCTGCCAGTCGTCCCACCTGTGGTAGGACCTGCAGCAGTAGCACCTGCAGCAGTAGCACCACCACCAGTAGCACCACCACCAGTAGCACCACCACCACCAGTAGTAGCACCTGCACCAGTAGCTCCTGCACCAGTAGAACCTGCAGCAGCCTCTGCAGTAGCAGCTGCTGCTGCTGTTGGAAGGAAGACCGCTCCCCCTGCTGCTCCTCTCCCCACACATTATCACCAGTCTTCTCCTCCGCAGAACCCACCCCATCCGTCCCAGCATCCTCTCCCTCCTCCCCAGCATTCCCCTCCTTCAACCACCCCAGAGTCGTCTCCCCTTCCCTTGTCTCACCCCCCTGAACCCATTCCCACCGTCCTCCATCCAATGGACCCACGAGCACATCCAGTTTCCAGTTCTCACACCACAGTCACTCCTACCGCCCATGCTACAGCTGCTCCTGCTGCCCACGCTACAGCCTCGCATCGCCCCCACTCTGCTGCTTCTCCCATCCCCCCTGTCCTCCACCCACTGGACCCGCGAGCGCAGCAGCAGCTGCCAGCAGCACAGGTGGCTGAAAGGACTCAAGAGCTTCAAGTGACTGAACGGAACGAAAGGTCTGAAGGGACCCGGGATGGGGTTTTCCCTGTAGGCGCTCTGGTGCATGGATTGTCGGCCGACTCTGATACCATGTCGACTGGTTCTAGACACGATGCCTATTCTCATGCTGACGCTCATTCCCATGCTGGTGTTGGTGCTGGCGCTGGTGCTGATGCTGTTGCCGATGTTGATGCGAGTGTGAAAGGTAAATACGGAGCAGAGTTGGTCCCTCCGGCCTTGGTGCCCAGCGGTGCCGGCAGCTCGCAGGGTTCCAGCCGGCCCGAGTCAAGGGAGTCAACAGAGTCAACCAGGGCGGGTGAGTCACCTGAGAAAGGTGTGTCAGCAGCAGTTGGAGGAGCAGAAAGAGGAGGGTTGGAAAGAGCGGTGGAGAGAGGTGTGGAGAGAGGAGAAGGGGTGGTAGCGACAGAGGCATGGGTGCTTGCAAGCATGAGGCAAAGAGCAAGGCTCGAAGAAGGACGCTCGGAAGGAGGCTCGGAAGAAGGCTTGGAAGGAGGCATGAGGGGAGGCTTGGAGGAGGCAATGAGATTAGCAGCTGTGGGTGACTCAACAGAGCGTTCCTTTATGGGGGGGTCTGTTATAACGGGGCCTGCTATAATGGGGCCTGCTGCTGTGGTGAGTCTGATGGACAAGGGTTCAGCTGCTGTAGGTGCTGCAGGAGTGAGTGTGGAGGAGGGGAGGAATGAAGGGGAGAGTGAGGGCAGGGAGGAGGAGGGTGGCGGGAGTGAAGGGGATGCAAGAGTGAGTGACGAGGAGAGTGAGAGTGGTAGTGAAGAAGAGAGTAGGAGCAGTGTGGGGGGGAGTGAGGATGGGAGCGAGGGTGAGAGTGAGGGTGAGAGTGAAGGGGAAAGTGTCGATGGGAGTGGGAGGAGCATGGAAGGAAGCGAAGGAAGCAGTGAGGGAGAGAGTGAGGGAGAGAGTGAGGGAGGGAGTGAGGAAAGTGAGGAGAGTGGGGAGGAGAGCGGGGAGGAGAGTGAGGGTAGTGTGACGGAGACAGATGCTGCGACCCGAACCAGCTACTCGGGGAGTGAGGGGGAGGAGACAGAGGATGGGTCGAGCGAAGGGGAGAGTGAGAGTGGAGAGAGTGAGAGTGGAGAGAGTGAGAGTGGAGAGAGTGAGAGTGGCGAGAGTGAGAGTGGAGAGAGTGAGAGTGGCGAGAGTGAGAGTGGCGAGAGTGAGAGTGGCGAGAGTGAGAGCGGGGGGAGTGAGAGTGAGGAGCAAAGTACAGTAGGAACGATGAGTGTGGCACGGGAGGGAGGCCTGGGGGGTTCAACATATGCTGAGACAGAAATGGCAGAGACAGAGACAGAAGCAGATGGGAGTAGTGAACGGATGGGGTTGGAGGGGGATGGAGAGAGTGTGGTGACAGAAGAAGGGGTGCTTATAGAGGTGGCGAGTGTGGTGGGGAGGAGTGAGGGAGTGAGGGTGGACAGTTTGCTGATCGAGGTCGAGAGTGTGGTTGGAGCAGAGAGTGTGGTGGGGGGAGGGAGTGTGTTCGGAGGGGAGAGTGTGGCGGGAGCAGGGAGTGTACTGGGAGAAGAGGATGTGATTTTTGAAGCGGTAGAGGAGGCAGAGGAAGGAGGAGAGTTGGACAGGAGCGAGGGGAGTGAGGGAGTGGAAGGACATGGTAGTGAGGGGAGTGTGTGGAGCGAACATATCAGCGACGGGGAGGGTTCGGGTGGAGAAAGAGAGAGTGTGGGGAGTGGAAGTGAGAGAAAGGAGGAGGCTGCGAGTCAAGATGAGAAGGTCAGTGGTAGGAAAAGTGAGTTGTTAACAGAATCCGAAGCTGAAGAGGAATTGCAAGCAGAGGAAGTGCCTGTGTCAGTGGCACCTGAAGAAGAGACACCAGCAGCACCTGCATTGGTAGTGGCGGCAGCAGCAGCAGCTGCACCACCAGCACCTGAAGCAGCAGCTCCATTAGCAGGAGCAGCAGTGCCTGCTAATGCGTTGGCTACAAACTTGAGAGGGGATACAGATAGGGCAAAGCCTGCGGATACAGCAAAGCCTGCTGCTGACGTGGTGAAGCCTGCGGATGTGGAAAAGCCTGCTGACGTGGCACGTTCCGCTGATGTGGCCAAGGCTGCCGCCGCAGCAAAAGCTGCTGACATGTCGCTGGCAGCGCTGATGGCGAGAACGCCCGATGCCAGGCCGGTGACTCCGATTCAACGCAGGACATGGCTGGAGGTGCTGCAGAGCCATGCCGTGCTGTCGGAACTGGTGAGTGTGTGGTGCTGGGTGGTATAGTGTGGTGGAGGATGAAACATGTTGGGTAACTAAGAAAAATGATGTGACAAGTGTCACACCAGTGCAGTGCAGGACGTGGCTGGAGGTGCTGCAGAGCCATGCTGTGCTGTCGGAACTGGTGAGTGAATGCAATGCCAAAACTTATTCTTAACCATGATCCCTCGATGCACCTTCTTGACCCGAAGCTAGTTTTGAGAATTCTAGGAACTGGTAAGTGAATGCAATGCCATATCTTCTTAACCATGATTCCCTCTCTGCACCTTGTTGCAACCTCTTCCCCATCTGTCGCTCTGCAGATGACGGAGGAGGACATGGGTGCGCTGCAGTTCCTGTGCTCCGTGGTAGACCTCTGCGTAGTAGCTGCCTAAGCCTTGACCTTCTTGCACTTCCCAACCTGCCGCATGCTTTGTTGTCTGCTGCTTTGCAGATGACGGAGGAGGACATGGGTGCGCTGCAGTTCCTGTGCTCCGTGGACTTTTACAAGTCACAGCACAGCATGGTGAGTGACAGTGACCGACCAAGATTTGAGTGAGTAAAATCGAAGTCAATTGCTGCCATGTAGATTCATGGGTCCAATCTGGGGCTGTATCAGACATGGGTGTGCTGCAGTTCCTGTGCTCCGTGGACTTCTACAAGGCGCAACACTGCATGGTGTGATATTCAGGGTTCAGGGTTTCGGGTTTTGAGTATCGGGCACCATAACTTTCTGCTGTGTTTTTGGGGGCATGGCAGCATCGTGGGTGGGCACCATCAGTTTCTTTTTTTTCCCCGACCAAACTCCGTCACCACACCCTTGCATTTTCTGATCCAACTATCGCTTGGGTTGTGTGCCCGTGTGTGCCTGTGTGTGCCTGCGTGTGCCTGTGTGTGCCTGTGTGTGCCTGTGTGTGCCTGTGTGTGGCTGTCCTTGCTCCTCTCCTCTCTCCAGGATTTCCGGGTGGACTTTCTGTTTGACGCAAATCCGTTCTTCACCAATGAATACGTATGCCCACCTGCCCCCCTGCTTATCCGCCTGCCCCCCTGCTTATCCGCCTGCCCCCCTGCTTATCCGCCTGCCCCCCTGCTTATCAAGTGCCATTGTGACGAGGTGACTTTTGAGTCGACTCAGAAGTCACTTTCTGTTTGACGCCAATCCGTTCTTTACTAATGCATACGTATGCCCGCCCACCTGCCTACCTACCTTCATGCATGTCTGCTACAGTTTTTGAACGTGCCGATTATTCTTCCTCATTTGGCTGGATTTCACGTCAGTGCTTTTCCTGCTTCAAAAAAGGCGAGTCTGATTTGGCTTGGTATGACCCCAACCGCTAAACCCCAAACCATCGATCCCCCTCAATTCCGAATCTCCAACCCCCGAACCCTAAACCCCTTTTCGTGTGCAGCTGAGCCGCGTCTTTGCTGTGGCGAGAAACCCCAAGGTTGACCCAATCATCATGTCCATTCACTGGTACGTATGATATGAATGAATGATGACTTAATTATCATGTCTAATCACTGGTGTGTGCTGCAATGTAAGACAAGCATTGAATGGAGATCCCCAGCCATGTGTATTGGGTGGGTGTGTGGGCAACACTTGGGAAAACGACTACAGCAACAGATTGACACCCAACAATGATTGAATTTGTTTGCTGGTATGGCCTTCACTCCACCCACCATGTCTGTTGCCGGTTTTCATCATAATTCCAAGCCTTTCCTCTGACATACCCTCAACCTCAGCACCTCCGATCTTTGCTCGCCCCACTCCCATGCCTTCTGCCTCCCCTCTCAACCTCCCAGCATGGCAACCAGGCAGAGACTTAGCTAAGCATCGCACGGGGTGGTTTGGATGGGAAGCTGCCACTCTGACGCAGGGAGAGAAGGGACGGGTTTGACCTCATGTCTCCATGCCTCCTTTTCCCATTCCGCTTTGACCCTCACACACAGCAACCCCATCGCCTGGCAGCCAGGCAGGGATTTAACTAAGCGCCACACGGGGTGGTTTGGATGGGCTGCTGCCACTTTGACGCAGGGAGAGAAGGGAAGGGTGTGACCTCATGTCTCCATGCCTCCTTTTCCCATTCCGCTTTGACCCTCACACACAGCAACCCCATCGCCTGGCAGCCAGGCAGGGACTTAACTAAGCGCCGCACGGGGTGGTTTGGATGGGCTGCTGCCACTCTCACGCAGGGAGGGAAGGGAGGCAGTGCTGCTGCAGGCGGTGGCAGGAACAGCTTCTTTACACTGTTTGCCTCTCGACCTTCTCTTACTGCTTCTGAAGCCAACGAGGAGGCTGTGGTGAGTGGGGTGCTGGCAGACTGGGAGTGCTGGTGTCATTTCCTCTGCTAGTGCTGCTGGCAACAATGGTGAGTGGTGGCAATGCTGGCAGAAGTGATTAGTCAATTTTTGAGTAGACTCAAAAATCAACTAATCACAGAAGCAGCTCCTTTTCTTTCTTTGCCTTACTCATATTGAATTACTTAAAAGCAGCTCTCAGAATCTTTCCAACCAGCGACCATTATTCTTGCTGAACAATTGATCTCCCTTTTTCCCCTCATCCTTTCCCCATGAGCCACCCATCAGCGTATGAAGAGGCTGGAAGAAGCCGCCTCACCAATAGTCTCCTGCTTGCTCAAATCCCTCCTACCCTCCCTCCCCGCCCTTTCCCCACCCTCCCCTGTTTCCCCCTCCCCCCCTCGCACCCATCAGCGCATGAAGATGCTGGAAGAAGCTGCTCTCACCCATGGTCTCCTGCAGTGAGTTGCCTGCCTACCCTTTCTCAGAAAAAAATATTTAGGGTTTAGGGAGTTTTTACTTCGTCTCAGCTGTTTTTCTTCTCTTCTGTGTCTCAGTTTTGTTTTTCATCTTCTTCCTTTTCGTCTCCATTTTACAGACAGCCCTGGAGTTGCAATTCAGTCTTGGGTACTAATTAGTCCGTAATTAATAAAAAGCTACATAATTTTTGTCATATTTTTTTCCGATGCAGGTCATCAGAAGGTCCTGTGGTGTCAAGCTTGCTTCGCTGGTACACTGTAAAGTCGCTGGGGGGTGGGGAGGAAGAGGAGGCGGAAGAGGAGGAGGAGGAAGAAGAAGAGGAGGAAGAGGAGGAGGAGGAGGAGGAGGAAGAAGAAGAGGAGGAAGAGGAGGAGGAGGAGGAGGAGGAGTCGAAGAAAGCTGAGAGAGCTGAAGCTGTAACGACTTTGGAGACGTCTCAAAAAGCGAGTCCCGCAGGGAAGCAGGCAGATGGCCGTCCTAGTATCGAGGAGGAGGGAGAGAGGGCGGAAGTCTGCAGTGCGGCTGTGCGGCAGGATGTGAGAGAAGATGAAAGGCGAATGGTGGGAGGCGAGAGGAAGGAGGAATTGATTCAACGGGAGGAGGCAAATGAGCGTCCTAGTTCTGGGGAGGAGGGAGAGAGGGCGGAAGGCAGTGCGGCTGTGCGGCAGGATGTGAGAGAAGATGATGGGCGAGTGGTGGGAGGCGAGAAGCGGGAGGAGTTGTTTTCACGGGAGGAGGAAGAGAAGCAAGGAGAAGGGGGAGAGGAGGCGGCGGAAGTGAGACAACAAGTGGAGGTGGGGCGAGAGGGAGAGGGTCCGAGGCACGGTGGAGTGGAAGTGGTGGAAGGAACAGGGAGGAGAAGCCCTGGGGAGGAATTGAACCATGTGGGATCGGAAGATTCAGCAACAGTGCATGCAGGAGGCAGGTGGGAAGAGGAGGAGAATGAGGAGGAGGAGGAGGAGGAGGAGGGGGCAGAAGTGGAAAAGAGTGCAGGGACGGGTGTGAAAGAGGAGTATGCACTGGTAGTAGCAGCAACACATGATGCTGAGGTGGGAAGTGAGAAGGATGAGAGTGAGACGGTTGTGAGTGAGAGAGAGAGGAGTGAGAGGGAGGAGAGCGAGACAGAAAAGAGTGACAGTGGCATGAGTGAGAGGGAGGAGGAAAGTGAGAGAATAGAGCATGACAGTGGCATGAGGGACATTGAGGAGGATAGGTGGACAGGTGAGGGTAGTGAAATCGAGGAAATGCAGGTTTGGAAAATAAAGGATGCAGAGGAAGGAGCAGTAGAGGATGAGTGCAAGGAGGAGAGGAGCGGCACGGAGGAGAGGAGAGGTGAAGAGGAGGGAAGGGGTGGTAGCGATGTGGGAGGTTATGACCCGAGGGGCTCCAGTGGTAGTCTTGGGGATGCGATGCCGGGCATGGTGGGGGGAGGTGGGGGGGACGAGGAAGAGGAAGGGGCAGGCACAGGGGCAGAGGCAGGAGCAAGGGGAGGGGCAGAGGCATGGGGAGGGAAAGTGGGGGTTGGAGGGGAGGAAGGAAGGGAAGGGGAAGGGGAATGGAATGGCAGCGGATTGAAAGGCCAGGCGGGTCAGTGGCAGGTGGGCCGCGACAGGGGAGCGTTGAGATACGAGGGGGTCGAGGGAGGGAGTGAGGGGGAGAGTGAAGGAGAGAGCGAGGGAGGAAGTGAGAGGGGGAGCGATCGGGGGAGTGAGAGGGGAAGCGATCGGGGGAGTGTGGATGGAAGCGATGGGGGAGGGAGTGGGCAGGGGAGCTCAGTGGAGGGCGAGTTGGCGGAGCTGATGCATGCAGTGGACAGCCATTCTCTGCCCTTCTGGCATGCTGTGGCTGCCACAGGCAGAGATGGGTTGGTGGGTCTCGAGAGTCGGGAGGAACTGGAGGGTCTGGAGGGACTGGAGGAACTAGAGGAGGGAGTAGAGGGGGCAGAGGGGGTAGAGGGGGTAGAGGGGGTAGAGGGGGTAGAGGCTCTGAAGGGGGCCGTTGCTGGTGTTGCTTCTGCCGCAGCTGTGCCTGCTCGCTCCTGTACAGGGATGCCAATGCCTGGCATCCGTGTTGCTGTATCGGGGCCTACTGCTGCTGCTTCTGCTGCGCTTGCCACGTTCTGGCGAACAGGAACACCCATGCCTGGAGTCCGTCCTTCAGGCTTACCCCCTCCCCCCCCTGCTCCCGCTCCCGCTGCTGCGGCTTCTCGTGCTGCTTGTCCTTCTGCTTCTGCCGCTGCCTCCCGTGCCACAACCCCCATGCCGGGAGTGCATGCTGCTGCAGCTTTACCTCCTCCCGTCCCTCCTCCTTCTGCTGCTGCCCCTGCAGCGTTCTCTCGTTCCACCACCCCCATGCCTGGCGTCCATGCCACTCTTGCTCCTGCGCCTCATCCTTCCCGTGCGGTAACGCCCATGCCTGGAGTCCACGCCCCTGTTGCTGATGCTGCTGCTGTCCCTGCCAAGTTCTCTCGCTCCACTACACCCATGCCAGGCCTCCCCCCTCCTCCTGCTCCTCCTGCGTTCTCCAGAGCAGTTACACCTATGCCTGGGGTTGCCCCTGCTGCTTCTAGTGCTTCTAGTGCTGGTACTGCTGCTCCTTCTGCTGCATTCTCCAGGGCAGTGACCCCCATGCCTGGGGTTGCTCCTACCGCTAGCTACCCCCCTCCACCTGTTCCAACCCCTCCTCATCTTGCTGCGATTCCTGCAGCTAGTGCTGCTGGTGCTGCTGGTGCTGCTGGTGCCACATTCTCCTCCAGGGCAGTGACGCCAATGCCCGGTGTCTATCACACCTCCCCGCATCCTCCCCCTCCTGCTGCGCCTCCTCCCCTTGTAGCTTCTGCTGCTCTCTCCCGGGGAGTTACGCCCATGCCTGGCGTGCGCACCACAGCTACGCCCATGACTGTCGTGCGTGCCACAGCAACGCCGATGCCTGGTGTGCGCGCCACAGCCACACCCATGCCCGGCATGGCTGGGGAGAGCAGCAGGCAGCAGCAGCACATGAGAGCATCCGCCAGCAGGGGCCACTCGCGGGGATCGACTGAGGGATCTGCGTTTTACACCCCAATCGAAGGGACAGCTGCGTTTTACGGCCCCCCAACTGAGCATGCGGCTTTCTTTGCCCCAACGGCTGACGGGGCTGCATTCTACGCCCAAACCCAAGCTGTGGGGCGCTCCCAGTCCCACAGGCACGCTGCAAGCCCCTCCCACTCGTATTATAGGCAGGCCATAAGCCATGGTCGCAGCCTGAGCCACGGCCCTGGGGGATGGGCTCTTGCTGAACCTCATCCTGCTGCTGTTGCTGATGCAGGGAGGGAGAGCGGTTTGGAGGTGTGGCGTGTGGTCATGCAGGGGTATGGGGAGGGGGGTGTGGGAGCAGGGATGGGGTATGGGGGCGGCGGGGGTGTGGGAGCAGGGATAAGTTACGGGGAGGGGGGTGGGGGAGGAGCAGGGATGGGGTATGGGGAGGGGGATAGTGTGGGGGAAGCAGGGATCGAGTATGGGCTGGGAGGCAGTGAGCAAGCAGCAGCAGGGATAGGCTACGGGCCGTGGCAGGAAGGGGGGGAGGGGGTTGTGGGAGGGAGTCAGAGGCTGGTGGTGGCGAGTGGGAGTGAGAGGGACGGCGATAGGAGCAGCGTGGGAGATAGGAGCAGTGTGGGGGATGGGAGCAGTGTCAGTGTGGGGGACAGCCTGGTGTCGCTTTTGAGAATTTTGAAAAACGAGGGGGAGGGCGATGTGAGTAGTGTGGCAGATAGCCTAGCAAGCAGCATGGATGGTGGTGGGGGGGGAATGCCGGGTATGGCTGATGGGAAGTCTGGTATGGGTGATGGGAGGTTTGGTATGGGTGATGGGAGATTGAGTGTGGGTGATGGGAGGTCAGGGATAGCTGATGCGAGGTTTGCGCATGCTCTCAGTCAGTCACTGGCGCGTGCGGCTATGGGGAATCTAGAGTCAAGTCAGAAGCCGCTGCAGCCACAGTTACAGTTACAGTCACAGTTACAGTCACAGTCACGGTCTCATCAGTCTGTGGCAGCGGCAGTGGCGCGAGATGCTCTGGGAATGAGCTTTGATGGGGACGTGCGCAACCTTTCCCAATCCCACCCGCAATCCCATTCCCGATCCCAATCCCACTCCCACCCTCACTCCCAGTCTGGCTCCGACTCCCGATCTCAATCCCATGCCCAGCCCTACCCTCGTAACCCCGACTATTACCACGAGAACAGGCACCAGAGGCATTCGATGCACCACTCAGACACGGAGGGGGAGGAGGAAGGAGAGGCAAGGCCGTGGCTTCACGTTAAGACCCGTGCGTCTCAGACGAGCTCTCGGCACAGTGGGCAGTGGAGCAGGGAGCACAGCGAGCAGCGGAGTGGGCAGTGGGGTATGCACCAGAGCAGGCAGCAGAGCATGGGCAGCGTTAGCAGCCGGCGTTCGAATGGGATGGAGAGTGTCCTGTGGGCCCCTACCACTGCAACCAGTTTCGGTGGTGGTGGTGCTGCTGCTGGTGCTGGTACTGTTAGTGGTGTCACTGGTGGTGGTGGTATTGCTGCTGCTGGTACGGTGGGGAGGAGACGAAGAGGCCTTTCTCTGGGGTCAGCCTCAGAAGTCTCGTCCATCCGAAGCAGGTCCCGAGGGAGGGGTGGGTCTCTCAGTGACGTGACCAGCCTGGGGATGAGTGAGGGGGAGGGGGCGAGTGAGGGAGTGAGTGAGGGAGTGAGTGAGGGGGAGAGTACCCGGTCTGTAGAGGCAGAGTTGGGAGATCTGATGGACGCTCTAGATGGCGAGCTGTCACCGTTCTGGACCACTCATAACAGCAATGGAAGCATGGGGAGTGTTGGGGCAGGAGGGAGGACTGGCAGCATTGGGAGCATTGGGCTGGGAAGGACTGGGAGCTTTGGCAGTGCTGGGAGCGTAGGGAGGATGTGGAGGGGGAGTGTGGGGAGTTTTAGGTCAGTGAGGGAGGAAGGGGAGGGAGGGAGGGGAGGAGAGGTGGGTGAGGAGGAGAGGGAAGCGAGGATGGATGTGTGGAGAGAGGTGATGGGGAATTACTGGGAGTTGAGAGGGGCGGGAGCGTTTGGGTATAGACATGCCGACAGGCATGCAGATCGACGCGAGGATAAACAAGAGGACAGAGATGAGGATAGAGATGAGGATGGACATGCGGAGGAGAGTATTCATGTGAATGGCAAAGGGGATGCTTCTAAGGGGGGAGAGGGCCGGGTGGATGGTGTTTTACAAGACTCGGAGTTGCTTTTGTATGATGATGTGGGAGAGAGTGTGAGTGGCAAGGTTAGGGAAGAGGCGGATGAGGAAGAGGAAGAGAAGGGTGGTTTGGGGGTTGTGGGCAGGGAGGATGGGCATGAGGAAGATGAGGAGGAGGAAGAAGAGGAGGAGGAGGAGGAGGAGGGTGGAAGGGTGGTGGTGGTGTTCAAAACGGCAACCAGGGCTGCTGGGATCCACGTGGAAGAGAGTGATGCGGATCTGTCTGCTGATGTGGTAAGCGATGCTGACATGGCGAGTGAACTGAGTGAGCACTCGCCGTACAACGCCAGGGATGATGTGGCAGGTGCTGGTATTGTGACACGTGGGATTAGCACACAGGAGGAAAGCGGAGAGTGGGAGGAGTCAAGGGATTTGGATCAGGAAAGAGAGACAGTGGGAGGAGTGGAGGATGAGGGGGAGAGGGTCAAGGTGTGTGGAAAAGCAGGGGCAGGTGCTGATAGTATTGGTGGTGGGGATGATGGTGCGGCTTCTGATGTCTTATCTGATGGCGCGCATGATAGTGAGGAGAATGGTGGTATGGGGGACATGCATGGTAGTGTGTATGAGGATCAAGAGACGGAGGAGGAAGGGGTCGAAGAAGAGGAGGAGGAGGAGGAAGAGGAGGAGGAGGAGAGGGTGGTAGTGGTGTTTAAGACAGCAACCAAGGGTAAAACGGATGAGGAGGAGGAAGAGGAGGTGGTGGGAGAATCTACTACTGAGCATGAGTCAATGACCGAGGGCCCTCTTGACACGGATACTGAGGATGCTGGTAACGAGTATGAGGAGGACAATGAGCGGGTAGTTGTGGTGTTTAACCGACCCAGGACTGGCGAGAAGAGGGAGGAGGAGGATGAGGAGGAGGATGAAGATGATATGTTGCTAGGTAGTGTGGTTGGGGATGCGATTCAGACAGGAAGTCAAATGGCCAGCCAGACAGGCAGCTATGTGGGTGAGGAGGAGGGTTGGGAGGCTGGGGAAGAGGAAGAGGAGACTGCTGGTGATAATAGTGAGGAGGGGAGTTTGGAGGATGGGGAGAGGGTGGTGGTTGTGTTCAATAAGGCGACGCATGCTGAGAAGGAGGAGGAAGAGGAGGAGTTAGAGGAGGGAATAGAGAAGGGGGAGGAGGTGGATGAGGAGGAGATTGCTGATGTTAGCGAAGAGGGGAGTTTGCAGGATGGGGAGAGGGTAGTGGTCGTGTTTAAGAAGGCGACGCATGCTGAGGAGATGGACGAGGAGGAAGAGGAGTTAGAGGAGGAAGAGGTGGAGGAGGAGGAGGAAGTAGTAGAGGGGGAGATTGCTGGTAATAGCGAGGAGGGGAGTTTGGAGGATGGGGAGAGGGTGGTGGTCGTGTTTAAGAAAGCAACACATGCTGAGAAGGACGAGGAGGAGGAGGAGGAGGAGGAGGAGGAGGTGGGAGAGGGACGGAGGGTGCAAGCGGGAATGAGCGAGGAGGGGAGTGAGAGGCTCAGTGAGGAGGCAAGAAAACATGAGGACGAGCAGCAGGAGGAGGAAGGGGAGGAGGAAGAGGAGGAAGCTGAGGAGGAGCAGGAGGAGGAGCAGGAGGAGGAGCAGGAGGAGGAAGGTTATGAGGAAGAGGATGAGGAGGATGGTGAGAAGAGGAAGGAGATTGAGCGATGGATAGAGGTGGCTGAGAGGGAATTGGCACTGCCAAGCCCGCAGGGGGGAGTCAGCAGCAGGCGTAGTGGCAGCGGAGTGAGCAGTATTCACCTGAGCTTTAGTGTTGACTTGAGCAGAAGCAGGAGCAGAAGCAGGAGTAGGAGCGATAGTGGGAGCAGTGGTAGTGAAAGTGGGAGCGAGGGGAGTGATAGTGGGTCTGAGGCGAGTGGGAGTGAGCGAGAGAGGGGGAGAAGGGATAGGAGTGAAGGGAGTGCGGAGGGTTCACAGGGAGAAAGCCTTGGGAACAGCATCAGCAGTGGCAAACTCAGAGATAGGAGACACCTGAGCCACAGCAGAAGCAGAAGCAGAAGCAGAAGCAGCAGCAGACACAGCGGCAGACACAGCAGCAGACACAGCAGCAGACATAGCAGTAGGAGCAGGAATGCGAGGAGGAGGAGTCACAGCAGTGGTCCAAGCAGTACGAGCAGAGATGAGAGTGTGGCAAGTGAGAGTGTGGATAAGAGTGTGAGTGAGGGACTGAGCTTGGAAGGGATTGAGAAGAGAGTTAGGAGTGAGAGTGTGAGTAGGGACGACAGTAACCGGTCGGGAAGGAGCAGTGTGAGTGAGCGAGAGAGTGACCATTTGGTTGAGAGAGAGGTTGAGACAACGAGTGTTGGTGCGAGTGAGAAAGCGAGTGAGGAAGCGAGTGAGGGTGATAGAGGGAGCTTGAGCAAGAGTGATAGTGGCAGTTGGAGTGAGAAGAGGAGCAAGCGCAGTGCCAACGGCACTGCTACCGGCAGAGCTACAAGCAGTGTTACTGGCAGTGTGAGAAGCAGCGCTGCTGCCAGTTCTGCAGGTGGTAGTAGGAGTCAGAGTGGTAGGAGTCAGAGTGGGAGTGAACGAGCGAGCGAGAAAGGCAGCAGCATGAGGAGCAGTTCTGATCGCAGTGGCGTGAGGGAGAGGAGTGGCAGTGAGCGTGAGAGAGTGGTGGGCACTTTGAGTGAGCATCAGAGTGTGGGGAGGAGTGTAATGAGTGATCATGAGAGTGAGCTTGCTAGTGAGCATGTTAGTGAGAGTGAGAGTGAAATGCATAGTGAGAGTGAGAGTGATGGGACAAGTGTGACCCTTAGTGAAAATGTGGGGAGTGGAAAAGAGAGTGTGAGTGGAAGTCAAAGGAGAGGCAGTAGTGAGAAGGATGACAGTGAGATTGTAGCAAGTGGGAGCGTGAGTAAGGGAGCAAGTGAAGGAGTGAGTGAGGGAGAAAGTGACGGAAGGAGTGAGAGTCTTAGAAGCAGTGGAAGCCATAGCAAATACAGCAGCACGAGTTCCAAACATAGCAGTGCAGTGAGTGCACACAGCAGCACGCACAGCCCACAGAGCAGCATCGACAGTCAGCGCAGCAGCTCGCACAGTCAGCACAGCAGCTCGCACAGTCAGCACAGCAGCCCGCACAGTCAGCACAGCAGCTCGCACAGTCAGCACAGCAGCCCGCACAGTCAGCACAGCAGCCAGCACAGTCAGCACAGCAGCCCGCACAGTCAGAGCAGCAGCTTGCACAGTCAGCGCAGCAGCTCGCACAGTCAGCGCAGCAGCTCGCACAGTCAGCAGAGCAGCCCGCACAGTCAGCACAGCAGCTTGCACAGTCAGCGCAGCAGCTCGCACAGTCAGCGCAGCAGCTCGCACAGTCAGCGCAGCGGAACACGCAGCAGGAGTGCGAGCAGCCATGCTCGCAGCAGTAGCAGCAAAAGTGATGCGTTCAGTGCTGCAAAGAGTGAGGATACATCTGCTAGTGAGCGATCTGAGACGCCTCAGGGCTCGCTCAGTGGAGCAAGTGGGGATGCTTCAGCTGCTGTGGCCAGAGTTGGAAGCACAACAGGCAGTTTGAGTGGAAGCGAGAGCAAGCACAGCAGGGGCAGTAGTGTAAGCAGGGGGAGCAGTGTAAGCAAGGGGAGCAGTGTAAGCAAAAAAAGCAAGGGGAGGAGCAGGGAGAGCAGTGTAAGGAAGGAGAGCAAGGGGAGGAGCAGGGGGAGAAGTGTAAGCAGTCCTAGGTCAAATGGGAGCAGTTATGATGGTGGTTCGGGGAGTGCTGCGAGTGACAGGGAGGACGAGAGGATGAGTGGGGAAATGGAGGAGAGTGGGGAAATGGAGGAGAGTGGGGTAGTGGAGGAGAGTGGAGTAGTGGAGAGTGGGGTAATGGAGAGTGGAGTAGTGGAAAGTGGTGCAATGGAGAGTTGGAGTGGTGTGGAGGGGTTAAGTGACGAGGAGAAAGAGGCTCAAGAACACGGGAGTGAGGAGCGAGGGGTGGAAGGGCAGGAGAATGAGGAGCGAGAGGCTGGAGAGCTGGAGCGTGAGGACGATGGTGTGGATGTGTGGAGCAGTGAGAGTGACGCATGGCATGAGGCAGTGACAGAGGCGGAGGAGAGAGATGAAGGAGAAGGAATAGCACCAGTACCAGAGGGTGTGAGTGGGGATGGTGCAAGGAGTGTTGTGGAGAGTGATGGGGAGGTGGATGGGACAAGCTGGGTCAGCAGCATCGTATCCCCTCTGCAGCAGGTGAAGGTGGTTCCTGGACACGTGGCAGACACTGAATGGACGGAGGAGCTGGGAGACGAGCAGCAGGCAGTTCAGGTGTCGGGAGCAGAGAATCAGGTGGATGATCATGTGAATGATAAGGTTGATGCTCAGGTGGATTCTCAGATGGTTCAGCAAGCAGGTGAGCAGGAGCAGCAGCAGGATGCAGGGGTGGGCATGGATGGGACAGATGGTTCTGCAGCTGCAGGCGATGGGATGATAAGGCAATTCAGCGAGGATGGGGTGATGAGGCAGATTGGGGAGGATGCGTATGTGTACGAGATGGGGGATGGCATGGGAGGAAAGGGCAAAGATGAATTGGCGCGTTCAGCAGGAGGCGATGATGGGGTTATGAGGCAGATTGGGGAGGATGCGTATGTGTATGACATGGGGGATGGTGTGGGGGGATGTGAGGAGCTGGATTGGAGCAGGGATGTGGGCGATTGGGGGGTGGGAGTGCTTGGGTGGTCGGGTGACTGGACGAGGGAGAGTGAGGTGTGGGGTGTGAATGCAATGAGGGATGAGGGAGAGGTGCTGGGGGCGAGTGGTGTGAAATTGAATGATGCTGGTGCTGCCAGTGGTGCTGCTAGTGATGCTGTCAAATTGGATGGGCAGACTGAGGAGAGGGAGGAGAGTGAGGAAGAGAGAGAGGAGAGTGAGGACGAGAGGGAGGAGATAGGGGAGGAGAGGAAGGAGATAGGGGAGGAGAGGAAGGAGATAGTGAAGGAGAGGAAGGAGATAGGGGAGGAGAGGAAGGAGATAGGGGATGAGAGAGTGGACAGAGGGGAGGAGAGAGAGGAGGAGAAAGAGGAGAGAGAGGAGAGCGGTGTGGAGAGGGAGGAGAGAGCGGAGAGAAAAGACGGGGAAGAGAAAGGGGCAGAGGACAAGGAGGAGGTAGAGGACGAGGAGGAGGCTAGGGAGGAGGAGGAGAGGAGGAGGAGGATGGGTTAGAGAGGGAGGAGGTGGAGAGGGAGGAGGAGGTGGAGGAGCAGGAGAGGGAGGAGGAGAGGGAGGAGGAGGAGGTAGAGAGGGGGAGGAGGAGAAGGGGGAGAGAGGGAGGGGAGGAGGGGGGGAGGAGGAGTGGAGTGACATGAGTGAGGAAGAGTGGAGCAGCATGGAGCTAGCAGCTACCCAGTCCCCCTTCCCCACTGCCTCGCCTCTTCCCTCCGCCAGCCCCTACGCTGCTCTCTCCCCACTGCCCTCCGCCACCCCAACGAGTTCAGGCATGGGTGTGCCTCTGGATAGTGCTGCTGTTAGCCTGGCACTGCAGCAGCAGCAGCAGCAGCAGCAGCAGCAGCAGCAGCAGCAGCAGCAGCAGCAGCAGCAGCAGCAGCAGCAGCAGCAGCAGCAGCAGCAGCAGCAGCAGCAGCAGCAGCAGCAGCAGCAGCAGCAGCAGGGGCAGCAGGAGCAACAGGAGGAGCAGGAGGAGCAGGGTGAGCAGGAGGGGCAGGAAGCAGAGGGCGTGACATTCGAAGAGGCGGAGGAGGAAGGCAAGAAGGAGGAGGAGGAGAGGGACGAGGGGCTTCTAGGGCTTCAAGGGCAAAGCAGCGTGTTTGCTTTTGCCTCTGGCAGCGAATCCTCAGTGCTGCCCCTTGCCAGCCCTGTTGCGCTGCCTCAAGATCGAACCGCTGGGGGCGGGGAGTCATGGGCCGAGGAGGTTCCGCAAGGGCAACTTCTCAGAGAATCTTTTGGTACCTTCCCTGCTTCTCAACACCCTACTGCTCTCACCGCCTCTGCTGCTGTGCCACACTTCGTTGCTCCTGCCAGTCTTGCTGCTGTGGCACGTGCTGGGCCGGAGGCTGCAAGTCCATCTGAAAGGCCGGTTTTGGAGTTGCGGTCGATTCCAGCTAGCAGCTCGCCTGAAAAGGCACCTGGTACAGCAGCTGATAGAGCACCCGATTCGGCACTTAATGTGGCACCTGATGCAGCACCTGATGCAGCAGCTGATGTGGAACCTGATACATCACCTGCGAAAAGCCCTGCCTCTGTTGAGGTGCTTCCTTCAGGTGCTGTCTCTGTTGTGTTGCCCTCAGGTGCTGTTTCCGTTGTGCTACCTTCAGGTGCCGTGTCTGTCATGCTGCCGTCAGGTTCTGTCACTGTTGCACTGCCTTCAGGTGCTGTCTCTGTTGGTTCAGGTGCCACCCCTGATTCGCGTGCTTCGAATTCACCTGAGACTGCGGAAACGAGAATGGATCAAAGTGAGTGGGAAGATCTTAGGGGGACAGAGGTGGAGGATGGGACAAAAGGAAAGGGGAGTGAGAGTGATGCGGAGAGGAAGAGTGATGGGAAGGAGGAGATTGCAAGTGAGAGTGAGGGAGAGGGTGAGAAGTGGGAGGAATCAGAGGAGTGGAGTGATGTTGGTGATGTGGTTACCAGCAGTGCTGGTGATGAGGTAGCCATTGAAGCTGGTGATCCAATCACCAGAGAAGCTGGGGAGATATGGAGTGAGAGGGAAGGGAGTGATAAGGAAGGGAGTGAGAGGGAAGGGAGTGAGAAGGAAGGGAGTGAGAAGGAAGGGAGTGAGAAGGAAGGGAGTGAGGAGGAATGGAGTGAGAAGGAAGGTAGTGAGAAGGAAGGGAGTGAGAAGGAAGGGAGTGAGAAGGAAGGGAGTGAGGAGGAATGGAGTGAGGCGGAAGGGAGTGAAAGGGAAGCGAATGAGAAGGAAGAGAGTGAGAGGGACAGGAGTGAGAAGGACTTTGAAGAGGAGGATGCAAGAGCAGCAGAGGAAGCAGGATTGATGGCCCTTGACAAAGCAGATTACACCGTGCAAGAGCAAGGTACAGCAGCAGCAGCAAAGGACGAGGAATCTATGGGCTTTAACAAAGCAGACGGCACAGTGCAAGAGCAAGGTGCAACAGCAGCAGCAGCAGCAGCAGCAGCAGCAGCAGCAGCAGAGGAAGAGAAATTGATGGAGCCTCCGGTAACGCTCATGGCCCAGATGTCATTGCCAGCAGTCGCTGCTTCGGCTGTGGGAGGAGGTGTGGTGGCAGCAGCACAGGCGGATGGGCCGGTGGCAGGAGGTGACTGGGAGAGCGAGGAGTGGAGTGATGTGGGGTTCGGTGTGGGTGAGTGGGAGGAGGAGATTGTGGGATCTGGAGGAGTGGGGGAAGAGAGTGAGGGCCAGAGTGAAGGGGTTGGCGAGGTGGATGGAGATATTGAGGGTGAGGTGGAGGACGGAGAGGAGGGTGAAGGTAGTGAGGGAGAGGAGATTGGAACGGTGGGAGAGGAGGTTGGTATGGGGAGGGAGGAGGATGAAGATGGAAAGAATGAGGAGGCTGAAGAATGTGAAGAGGAGGAGGGAGGGGATAAGGATAGAGAGGAGAATGAGGGTCTGCAAGGAAGCAGCGCAGTGGCAGTAGGAGACATGGCAGGAGAGGGAGAGGTCAAGTTGCGTGCTGATGAGAGCGAGGGGCATGTGGGTAGGAAGGAGGATCAGAGGGAGGAGGAAATGGAGGAGGAGAGAGAAGAGGAGGAGGAGGTGGGATCGGAGGAGGAGAGGGAAGAGGATACGGAGAGGGAGCGGCAGGGGCAAGAGGAAGTGGAGGATTCGCACAGAGAGGAACTGAAGGAGGGTGTTGCTGAAGGAAGGAGAGTGGAGGAGGAAGAGGACAGGATGATGAGAGTGGATGAGGGAGTGGAGGAGGGAGTGGATGAGGGAGTGGAGGAAAGAGAGGAAGGGAAAGAAGAGGAGAAAGTGGAGGAAAAGCTGGAGGAAGGGGTAACGGAAGGGAGGGTGGAGGGTGAGGGTAGAGATGCTCATGCGGAAGGGAGTGAAGTGGAGGATGGGAGTGAGAGTGGGAGTGGGAGCATGAGTGAGAGGGAGAGTGATAGCATGAGTGAGAGGGAGAGTAAGAGCATGAGTGAGAGGGAGAGTGATAGCATGAGCGAGAGAGCGAGTGCAAGTGAAGGTGAGAAGGAGGGTAAGAGCGCGAGTGAGAGGGAGAGTGAAAGTGAAGGTGAGAGGGGGAGTAAGAGCATGAGTGAGAGGGACACAGAGAGTGACAGTCTGAGTGACGGAGAGAGTGAAAGCGTGAGTGAGAGGGGGAGTGAAGGTGAAAGTGACAGGAGGAGTGAAAGAATGAGTGACAGTGGAAGTGAGAGGGGTGCTGAGAGTGAGAGTGGAAGTGAGAGGGGGACTGAGAGTGAGAGTGGAAGTCAGAAGGGTGCTGAGAGTGAGAGTGCGAGTGATAGGGGGGCTGAGAGCGAGAGTGAAACCGAGAAAGGTTTTGAGAGTGAGAATGAAAGTTCGAGGAGGGCAGAGAATGAAAGCAAGGCAGGGGCTGAAAACGAGAGCAGGACAGAGCCGACTAGTGCAGCCGTGGAGACGCCTCAGCAAGACGACATCACAGAAGGTGCCATTGGCGCTGCTGAGAATGAGAGTGGAAGTGAGACGGGTGCTGAGAGTGTGAGAGCAGCTGCAGGTGAGAGCCAGAAAGAGACGAGTGGAGCTGTGGAGGTGCCTCAGCTGGGCGACATGACAGAGCGAGCAGCAGCGGACACCGGCGCTGCAGCAGGGGCCACTGTCGCCGCAGTAGGCACTGGTACTGAGGAGGAGAGCCAGAAGGAGCCGAGTGCAGCCATGGAGGTGCCTCAGCAGGACGACATTGCAGAAGGAGCAGCAGCGGACACCGGCGCTGCAGCAGGGGGGGCCACTGTCACTGCAGCAGGCACTGGTACTGAGGATGAGAGCGAGGAGGAGCCGAGTGCAGCCGTGGAGGCGCCTCAGTTGGACAACATTACAGTAGGTGCAGCAGCGGACACTGGCATTGCAGCAGGGGCCACTGTCACTCCAACAGGCACTGGTACTGAGGACGAGAGCCCGAAAGAGCCAAGTGCAGCCGTGGAGACGCCTCAGCTGGACGACATCACAGGAGGTGCAGCAGCGGACATCGGCGCTGCAGCAGATGCTTCTTCAGAGTCAGCTGGAAAAGGAATCACAGGAGGTGCAGCAGCACGCATGGCAGAGCCAGAAGCGGCCACCATCGTGGCAAGCACTGCAACACCAGACGAGCCTCCCGTGTCTGCCGCCCATCTTGTTCCGCATCCCCCCACTCTTTCCCCCACCGCAACCATCTCACCCGTTGCCCCCAGCTCAGCTGTCCCGTCTGTCTCAGTCTCAGCCGTCCCCTCCGCCCCTAGTGCTTCCACTGCCCCTACCATTCCCTCTGTCCCCTCTGCTTCCTCCCGCACTGCCAACTCCTGGATTCGCCCAGCACAGCCGTCTTCCCACTCCGACTCAGGCTCGGACTCTGACTGGTCCGACTCCGAACCTGCGCCCAAGCCTGTGCCCATCCGAGCCTGGAGGGCAGGCATGGCGAGTGCAGCGCTGGCCCCTGAGCCTGCCGCCTCTCCTCCCCCACAAACTGTCCCCGTGGGGCGACTGCGGAGTGACTTCCTCAACCGCTTCCAGCAGCAGCAGGAGCAGCAGCAGCAGGATCGTTCCTCTGTGCCTGCTCTTGAATCTCCACAGCAGCAGCAGCAGCAACAGCAGCAGCAAGGGCAGCAGCAGCAGCAGCAGCAGCAAGGGCAGCAGCAGCAGCAGCAGCAGCAGCAAGGGCAGCAGCAGCAGCAGCAGCAGCAGCAGCAGCAGCAGCAAGGGCAGCAGCAGCAGCAGCAGCAGCAGCAGCAAGGGCAGCAGCAGGTCTCTCCAACTTTGCCTAAGTTCTCACACGCTGCACTGCAGCAAACGGCTGCTACATCAGTAGGCGTAGCTGCTGACATGGAGCAAGCTTCTGACGTGGAGCAAGCTGCTGACGTGGAGCAAGCTGCTGACGTGGAGCAGGTTGCTGACGTGGAGCAAGCTGCTGACGTGGAGCAGGTTGCTGACGTGGAGCAAGCTGCTGACGTGGAGCAGGTTGTTGAGGTCAAGGCTAATGTCGAGTCTGAATTACCTGCTGGTGGTGATGATGCAATTGCTGATAAGGAACGGCCTGCACTCATGCAGTCAACTGCTGACGTGGCACCTCCTGCTGATGTGGACGATGTGAAGGACGATTCCAGACCATCTTCTCCAGATGGGTCAGCCACCAGCATGGAAGATGCAGCTGATGTGGAAGCTGATGTGGCAGCTGCTGATGTGGCAGGTGAGGTGGCTCTGGGTGCAGCTGGAGGTGCTAGTGTGCAGATGCCAAGTGGGGTGGGTGCACCTGTGCTGCAGACGAGAGGTGAGGCCAAGGAGGTGGAAGTAGGGGAGGTGGTGGGAGCAGGTGAAACTGACACAGGGAGACTGGAAGGAGAGAGCGACGTGGAAGCAGAATTGGTGCAAGCAGAAGAGGTGGGAGCAGGGGGGGCGGAAGCAGAAGAGGTGGGAGCGGAGGAGGTGGAAGCAAATAAATTTTCCGGTCCAGATTCTGAACCTGGCTCTGCGTCGGATGCTGATGTGGCTGCTGATCTGGCTGCTGACGTGGCTGGTGATGTGGCTTTGCATGTGCCTGGAGGTGAAACTGCAGCGGCACCATCTCCATCAAGATCAGGCTCCGATTCTGACTCTGCTTTGGAAACTGATGTGGCTGCTGACATGGCTGCTGACGTGTCTGCTGACGTGGCTCTGTGGACGACTGGAGGTGAAGCTGCAGCTGCCCCATCTCCATCAAGTTCTGACTTCGAATCTGACACCGCGTTGGGAGCTGATGTGGCTGCTTATGCAACTGCAGGCGTAGCTACACCATCCCCGTCAAGTCCGCCAGACTCAGAATCTGTCACTGCTTTGGAGGCAGTGGGGGTGGAGGAAGGGGAAGGTGGTGAGGAGGAAGAGATGGTGGAGGAAGGGACAAGGAGTAAGGAAGCAGAGAGGGAGGAGGAAGAGAGGAGTGAGGAAGGAGAGAGGGAGGAGGAAGAGAGGAGTGAGGAAGCAGAGAGGGAGGAGGAAGAGATAAGGAGTGAGGAAGCAGAGAGAGAGGAGGAAGATGGGAAGAGTGAGGAAGCAGAGAGGGTGGAGGAAGAGAGGACTGAGGAAGCAGAGAGTGAGGAGGAAGAGGGGAGTGAGGAAGAAGAGAGGGTGGAGGAAGAATCAAGGAGTGAAGAAGCAGAGAGGGTGGAAGAAATGACGAGTGAATTTGAGGCTGTAGCGGAGGGTGGGGTGGCAGCTACGGGTGTAGCGGTGCCTACAGGGGTGGATGGGGCGGCAATGAAAGAGGAGGATGCGGAGATGCTCGGAGCAGTGGAGGGCAGGGAGCAGTTGGGATCAGAGGAGAGTGAGGAGGCTAAGGAGGCTGAAGAAACTGGGGATAGTGAGGAAATTGAAAACACTGAAGAGAATGAAAAGTGTGAGGAGAGTGAGGAGAGTGAGTACGCTAAGGAGGTCAAGGAGACTACGGAGGAGCATGAGGAGGCTGAGTCACGTTCTGATGATGCTGAGTCACGTTCTGATGATGATGAGTCACGTTCTGATGATGCTGAGTCACGTTCTGATGATGCTGAGTCACGTTCAGCTGCTGAGTCACGTTCTGATGCTGAGTCACGTTCAGCTGCTGAGTCACGTTCTGATGCTGAGTCACGTTCTGATGCTGAGTCACGTTCTGATGCTGAGTCACGTTCTGGTACTGAGTCGCGATTTGATGCGTCACGTTCGGATGCTGAGTCACTTTCTGATGCTGAGTCACGTTCTGATGCTGAGTCACATGCTGAGTCACAGTCACATGCTGAGTCACATTCGGATGCAGCGTCTGCTGGTGCTGGTGATGATGCAGTGAGGATTACTGACGCAGCTGCAGTTGCTCTGCCGAATTCTGCACCTGATTCACCAGCAGGGGATGAACCAGCTGCTTCTCTCACTGCCGCCTCCTCTCCTGCCTCTGCCACTCAGACGGACTCACCTGCTATACCTGAAGCTGTTGACTCACCTGCCGCACCTGATTCCCCTGCCGCACCTGATTCCCCTGCCGCACCTGATTCCCCTGCCGCACCTGATTCCTCGGCCTCACCAGATTCACCTGCCGCACCTGATTCACCTGCCGCACCTGATTCACCTGCTGCACCTGATTCCCCTGCCGTGCTCGATTCTACTGCCGCACCTGATTCACCTGCTGCATTTGAAATACCTGCAGCACCTGATTCACCTGCTGCGTTCAAAACACCTGCCGCACTTGATTCACCTACCAGGGCTGAATCAGCTGCGTCTTTGAGCCCTGCCTCCTCCCCTTCCTCTGCCACCCAGTTGGAGGCTCGAGTTGAGAGCGAGGAGGAGAGGCAGGAGGAGGAAAGGGCGAGGGAAGAGGAGGGAGGAGAAAAGGAGGCGGAGAAAAGTGAATGGGTGGAGGATAAAAGTGAAAGGGAGGAGGAAAGTGAAAGAGCGGAGGAGGAAAGTGGAGGGGCAGAGGAGAAAGAGGAGTTGGAAGAGGAGGAAGGAAAGCGGGAAGAGGAAGAAGAGGAGGAGGGAGGAGTCGAGGCGAGGGGAGAGGTGGAGAGCGGAGGGAAAGAAGCAGAGAAGGCGGAAGAGGAGGAGAGTGGAGAGGAGGAGACGGAAGATGGGAAACAGGAGAAGGGGGAAGAGGAGGAGACAGAAGATGGAAAACAGAAGGTAGAAGAGGAGGAGAGCAGAGTGGAGGTTATAGAGGAGGAGAAGGAGAAGCAGGAAGGTGTATTCGTGGCAGAGGAAGAAATGGGAAGAACTGGAGATGTTAAGAGAGAGAGCATGGACGGAGAGGGAGTGGGAAGTGAGGGTGTGGAGGGAGAGAGTGTGGAGGGAGAGAGTGTGGAGGGAGAGAGTGTGGAGGGAGAAGAGAGTGTGGAGGGAGAGAGTGTGGAGGGAGAGAGTGTGGAGGGAGAGAGTGTGGAGGGAGAGAGTGTGGAGGGAGAGAGTGTGGAGGAGAGCGATGTGGCTGTGCCAGCAGCAGATGCAAGTGTCAGTGGCCAGAGCGCATCAGGCGGCACGGAGGGGGAGAGTATGGAGAGGGAGAGTGTTGAGGGAGAGAGTGTGGAGGGAGAGAGCGCAGGGGGAGAGGATAGTGTGGCAGCACCAGAGGCGGATGCAATTATCAAGGTCCAGGGTACATCAGAGGCTGCACTAATCCCAGTTGATGCTGATGGGACAGCTTATGCCGAAAGAACTGAAGAAGCAGGCATGGAAGAAGAAGCAGTGGAAGGAGCACCAGCAGTGCATGGGTCAGCAGCAAGGGAAGACGGGAGAGCAGCAGCAGCTGAGACAACATCCCCCTTGGTGGAGCAGACGCAAGCAGCAGCAATGGAAGCAGGAACTTCATTGGTTGACAGTGACACCACTCGTCCTCTTCCCACCCACTCCTCATCCCTTGCTGTTCCCTCTCCTCCCTCTCCTCCCTCTCCTCCCTCGGTTCCCTCTGTTTCTTCTGTCTCCTCTGTTCCCTCTGCTTCCTCTCGCCCTGCCAACTCCTGGATTCGCCCTGCACTGCCGTCTTCCCACTCTGGCTCTGATTCCGAATCTGACTGGTCCGACTCTGAACCTGCGCCCGAGCCTGTGCCCATCCGAGCCTGGAGGCCAGGCATGGCGAGTGCAGCTGCAGCAGAAGCATCGGCTCCTGTGCCTGCTGCATCTCCTCCCCCCGAAGCAGCTGTGGGGCGACTGCGGAGTTACTTCCTCAACCGCTTCCAGCAGCAACCGGAACAACCCTCTTCGCCTCCTCTTGGGTCTCCACAACAACAGCAGCAGCCGCGGCAGCAGGTGGAGGGAGAGGGGGAGAGAGAGGAAAAGGGTGCGACCTTAATGGAGGTGAAGGAAGGGGGTGTGTTAGCGGAAGATGATGACAGAGAGAAAGTGATTGTGACAGAGAGTGATGAGGAGAGAGCGGTTACGGTAGAGGGAGTGGAAGCGAGCGAGGAAGAGGGGGTGGCGAGGGAGGGAGAGGAAGTAGAAGTGACAGAGGAAGAGGGAGTGGAAGCGACAGTGGAAGATAGAGTGGAAGTGGGTGAGGAGGAGACAGTGGAAGATGGAAAGGTAGAGAGCTTACAGAAGGAAGAGGAGGAGAAAGAGGCTAAGGAATTGCGAGAGAAGGAGGTTGAGGAAAAATTGGAGGACGTGGTTAAGGAGGATAGAGTGAAAGAGGGTGGGGAGGAGAGAGAGGAGGCGAGTAAGGATGAGAGGATGGACGAGGAACAGAGGGTGGAAGTAAGGAAGGAAGAGAGGGAGGAAGAGGGTGAGGTGGATAGGGAGGAAGAGGGTGAGGAGGAGAGGGAGGACGAGGGTGAGGAGAAGAGGGAGGAAGAGAGTAAGGAAGAAAGCGTGGAAGAGCCTAAGGAAGAAAGGGAGGAGGAAGTGAAGGGAGAGAGCGAGGAAGAGGCTAAGGAGGAGACTGACGCGGATGGTGTTGTGGCTGTCCCTTCCCCTTCTCCGGTCTCGTCCCCTCTTCCTCCCACCGCCATCCCGCCAGCTCAACCTCCCACCACGGCCATAACCATCAAGCCACGTGCCCCGGATTCATGGATGAGGCAGCAGAAGACCCATACCTCTGAATCAGGCTCGGACTCTGACTGGTCCGACTCTGAGCCTGCGCCCAAGCCTGTGCCCATGCGACCCTGGAGGCCAGGTGCGGGGGGTGCTGTGGCGGCAATGGCAGCTGCACCTGCGCCTGCTGCCTCTCCTCCCCCCCAGCCTCCAGCGGTGGGGCGACTGCGGAGTGACTTCCTCAACCGCTTCCAGCAGCAGCAGCAGCAGCAGCAGCAGCAGCAGCAGCAGCAGCAGCAGCAGCAGCAGCAACAAGAGCAGCAGCAGCAGGTTCTCACTGATGCTCCTGCTCGACTTCTGACCACTACTGCTGGTGCCGCTGACTCTGATAAGGCGTCAGCTGCTACTACTGCAGCTGAGGATGATGTTTTTGGCGGTTCCGGTGATGTGCCAGGAACAGAAGCAGAGGCAGGAGCAGCAGCAGCAGCAGCAGCACAAGGGGCAGAAATGGCACTGGCGGCTGTTGCTGGGGATGAGGTTGGACAGGCAGAGGGGGCAGAGAAGGTGCAAGAGGAAGCAGGTAGAGTTGGGCTGGAGGCGCAGTCAGGTGAATTGTCAGGTGGAGAGGTGTGTCAAGGCGGCCAAGTTTCGGCTGATGCGGCATCAGGGCCATCCACTCCTGTGCCAGCTGACGTGGCATCAGGCCTATCCACTCCTGTGCCAGCTGATGTGGCATCAAGGTCATCCACTCCTGTGCCAGCTGATGTGGCATCAGGCCCATCCACTCCTGTGCCAGCTGATGTGGCAGCAGACGCACCGTCTTTACCTGAACCATCCATTCATCCAACAATGGCCGGCCCCTCCCTTCCTCTCTCCTCCCCTCAGCCTCTTTCCTCCTCTCAGCCACTCGCCTCCCCTCAGCCTTCCACTCCTCCTCACCGCACTGCACCTCCCGTCACCATCAAGCCCCGCGCTGCAGACTCATGGATGAAACGACCCAATCAGGACTCTGATTCAGGCTCAGACTCTGACTGGTCCGACTCCGAACCTGCGCCCAAGCCTGTGCCGAACCGAGCCTGGAGGCCAGGCATGGCAAGTGCAGCAGCAGCAGTACCTGCCCCTGCGCCTGCCGCCTCTCCTCCTTCCCAGCCTGCAGCGGTGGGGCGACTGCGGAGTGACTTCCTCAACCGCTTCCAGCAGCAGCTGACGGAGCAACCCTCTGTGCCTGCTCTTAGGTCTCCCCACCAGCAGCAGCAGCAGCCGTTGGCTGTGTCTCCTCATGTGCAACCCCGCACTCCAGAGGTTGATGCTTTCATTGGTGCTGCTGTGGCTTCTGCTGCCACAGCCGGCAGTGCAGCGGAATCTGCTACTACATCTGCTAGTGCAGCTTCGGTTGCTGCTGCTGGTACCGTTGCTGCAGCTGGCAGTGCTGATTCTGCTAATGCAGCTGCGGCAACTGGTAGTGCCTTTTCTGCGACTGCTGTTTTCAGTGCAGCCGCTGTTGCCGGTGCAACAGCTGTGGCTGCTGTGGCCATAGCTGCCGCTGCACCTGCTGTCTCGGAGCCCGAGGAGCGGGGAGAGTTAGAACGTGGAGAGGATGTGATTTGCAAGGAAGGGGAGGTGGGGGGTGACTCTGAAGGCAGCGGAGAAGAGGACGGTGGGGGCACGAGAGCAGGAGCTATGGCTGCTGAAGGTACGGTTGCTGATGCTATGGGGGAGTTGTCTGCTGAGGTGGCATCAGAAGCACCTGCTGACGTGGCAGCGGAAGCGGCTGCTGATGTGGCAACGGAAGCGGGAGCTGATGTGGCATCGGAAGCGGCTGCTGAGGTGGAGGAGCAGGAGAATGAGGCACGGGAGGAAGAGGAGGACGAAGGGGGTGGAGAAGACGGAGAGGAGGAAAACGAGGAGGATGAGAAAGAAGAGGAAGAAGAGGAAGAAGCGACAGAAGCAAAGGAAGAGGACAATGCGGAGGTAGAGGGAGAGGAGGGTGTTGAGGAAGAAGAGGAAGGAGGGAGTGAGGCAGGAGAGGAATCCACTGAGGAGGTGACTGTAGAAGTGACAGAGGAGTATGAAGAGGTGACTGTAGAGCAAACGGAGGAGTATGAAGAAGTGACAGTCGAAGTGACAGAGGAATATGGGGAAGTGACTGTAGAAGTAGAAGAAACGGGAGAATATGAGGAGGTGACTGTAGAAGAAACGGCAGAATACGAGGAGGTAACTGTAGAGGTAACTGAGGAATACACTGAAGAGGAAGTTACCGTGGAAGTTACAGAGGAGTATACAGAAAAGGAGGTTACTGTAGAGGTTACAGAGGAGGTTACAGATGAGGATAAATCGGAGGAGGTGGCAGAGGAGGGAGCAGGAGCAGCAGGTGGAGAAGCGGGAGAAAGCGCAGAGGTACAAGTTGCGGAAGAGGAGGAACAGGATGGGGAGCAGGAGGAGGAGCAGGAGGAGGAGCAGGAGGAGCAGGAGGAGCAGGAGGAGGAGGAGCAGGAGGAGGAGGAGGAGGAGCAGGAGGAGGAGGAGGAGTATGAAGAGTATGAGGAGCAAGAAGAGGAGGAGGAAGAAGAGGAGGAAGAGGAAGAGGAGGAGGAGGAGGAGGCAAGCGAAAAAGAGAGCACAAACGGCAGCAGCAAGGAAAGCAGCCCGAGGAATAAGCATGAGAAGGAAGAGGAGGAGGATGAGGAAGCGAAGATACGGCGGCAGGAGCAGGAGGAGCGGAACGCGGAGGAGCAGCGGGCGCTGCGGCTGCGAGTGGCGAGCATGAAGCGGTTCAATGCGGTGATGGGGGAGCTGCGCTTCCGACAGGGAATCCGCGAGGAGGGGGAGGGGGAGGGAGGCGCAGGGGGAGGCGGAGGGGCAGGTGAGGGGAGCGGGTCGGGTGCGTCTGGGACAGGAGGTGGAGGTGCGGTGGGGCAAGCGGGGGGAGCAGGAGCAGCGGCTCCTATTGCGCTTCCTGCCTTGGCGGGTGGTGGTGGTGGTGGTGGTCCCAACCCTCACAGTCCAGGCAAGGTGAGCCAGTCACAAACAAACCAGCATCCGCGTCTGCCATGTTTCTCTTGTAGATAACCTGGCACCAGTCACAAACCAGCCTCACAGACCCCCTGGAAAGGTGACTTGTGAATTACTTTGTACTTTGTTCCTGTCGAATCCCCTTTAAATGCCTGTTAGTGCCCATGCAGCGCTGCTGTGCCTGGTGGCATCGCAGGGCATGCGTGTGCCGGCCAGTGACAGAGCAGTGGCTCGAGAAATATGCGGCTTACTGTTACTACTCATCCTTCTCAACCAACCCTTCTGTCTTTCTCTGTTCCCTTCTCTTTTTCCTGTCCCTGCTTTCGCAGCGGTCGGTCGCAGATGCTGTCTCTGGTGACGTCACAGCCCCTGCATGTGCCGGCCATTGCAGTGATCCAACAAATCATGGTTCTTACAGGGGGGGTTGCTGGTGTTGCACATCCCTCTTAACTATCCCTTCTGTCTCCCACCCACTGGTTGTGTCTTTTCTCCCTCCTCCCCCCTTTCACAGCGCTCGCGGATGCTGTCTCTGGTGGCGTCACAGGGCCTGCATGTGCCGGCCAGTGCAGTGACCCGGGAGATCATGGGGCTAACTGGGGGTGGTGCTGGGGTGGGGAGCCGGAGCATGGTGTCTCGGGGTAGCATGGGGCGTGCAGGAGGCGGTGGTGCTAACCTGGGGATGAGTCGGAGCATGGTGAAGGAGAGAAAGCGGCCTTCGCTGCTGGAGAGTAGTAGTGAGGAAGAGGAGGAAGAGGAGGAGGAAGAGGAGGAAGAGGAAGAGGAGGAGGAGGAGGAGGAGGAGGAGGAGGACGAGGATGATATTGATGAGGATGGTGAGGGTGGTGCAGAGGAAGGGGAGGGAGAAGAGGAGGGCGAGGAAGAAGAGGAGGGGGAAGAGGAAGAGCATGGAGAGGCGGAGGAGGAGGAGGAGGAGGAGGAGGAGGAGGAGGAGGAGGAGGAGGAGGAGGAGGAGGAGGAGGAGGAGGAGGAGGAGGAGGAGGAGGAGGAAGAGGAGGAAGAGGGGGGAGATGAGGGAGAGGATACACAGGAGGAGGAAGATGGAGTGGAGAAAATAGATAACGAGGAGAATGAGGAGGAGGAGGAGGAGAACGAGGAGAACAGGGAGGAGAATGAGGAGAATGAAGAGGAGGAAGAGGAGGAGAATGAAGAGGAGAAAGAGAATGAGGAGAACGAGGAAATCGAGGAGCAGGAGAACGTAGAGCGTGAGGCAGGGTACACGGATATGGAGGCTGGAGGCGAGGAGTCTTGGAATGTGGAGGCTGACGAGGGTCTTGCTGAGGATGCTGCACCCGAGGACAATCCAGGAGAGGAGAGTTCGGCTGAGGCAGGAGGAGCGGGTGAAGTTGCAGGCAGCGATTCTGCCAAAGACCCCCCACTGGCTGTGTCTGAGGGTGAGGGGCGTGTGAAGGCCCTTGCTGCTGCAATGCTTGCGCCTACTTCTGTGGTTGCTGCTCCTGCGGACGCCACTAGTGCAACCCCCAAAGAGGTAGCCTCTCCAGATGTCGCAGAGGGGCGTGTGAAGGCTCTTGCTGCTGTGGTGGCATCAGCTGCGTCTGCCGACGCCGCCAGTGCACCTTCTAAAGAGCCAGAGGCTGTAGATGTTGCTGGGGGAAGGGTGAAAGCACTTGCTGCTGTGGTGGCGTCTGCAAATGCTGATACCACAGCTGCAACCCCTAAAGAGGCTGCGGCTATTAATGTTCCTGGGGGGCGTGTGAAGGCTCTTGCTGCTGTGGTGGTGTCTGCTGCGTCTGCTGACACTACCCCTGCACCCTCTAAAGAGCCAGCGGCTGTAGATGTTGCCGGTCGAAGGGTGAAGGCTCTTGCTGCTGTGGTGGCGCCTGCTGCGTCTGCTGACTCAACCAGTACAATCCCTAAAGAGGCGGCAAATCCAGATGTCGCAGAGGGGCGTGTGAAGGCTCTTGCTGCTGTAGTGGCGTCTGCAACTGCTGATACCACAGCTGCAGCCCCTAAAGAAGCGCCAATTCTAGAGGTTGTCGGTGGGAGGGTGAAGGCTCTTGCCACCACTGTGACTGCTCCTGTGGGTGCTGATACCACTGCTGGTCCACCCTATAAAGAGGCGGCGACTCTAGGCGTTACTGGCGGGCGTGTGAAGGCTCTTGCTGCTGTGGTGGCGTCTGTAGGTGCTGATACCATTAATGCACCCTCTAAAGAAGCAGCATCTCTAGGGGTTGCTGAGGGACAAGTGAAGGCTCTGGCTGCGTCAGTGGCAGGTGCAGGTGTTGACACCACTGCTGCAAGTACCAGTGATGCTGCTTTGAAGGAACCTGCTGCTGCTGCTGCTGTGGCGTCTGCTGCTGCTGATAATAATGCTGGCACCAATGCTGCGCCCTCAGACATCCGCTCGCTGGAGGTTGCGAAGGGGCGGGTGAGAGAGCTCGCTGCTCGTGCTTCCTCTGCTGCTGACAGGAGCAGCACTGAAACTGCCGGTGTTGCTTCAAAGGACTTGGTCTCTCTGGATGTTGCAGAGGGGCGGGTGAGAGAGTTGGCTGCTGCTATGGCGTCTGCTGGTGCTGATACCGATTCTGCTAGCGTTGGCGGTGCAACCTCTGACGGCCCCTCGCCAGACGTGGCAGAGGGGCGGGTGAGAGAGCTCGCTGCTCTTGCTGCCGCTGCTGCTGCCAAGAGCAGCACTGAAAGCGCTGGCAGTACTCCTAAGGACTCGTTTCTGGAAGCTGGTGAGGGCTGTGTGAAGACCCTTGCTGCTCTTGCTGCCTCTGCTGCTGACAGCAGTGCTGATACCGCTGGTGCTGCTTCAAAGAACTTAGCCTCTCTAGAGGTGGCAGAGGGGCGGGTGAAAGAGCTTGCTGCTCTTGCTGCCGCTGCTGCTGCCAAGAGCAGCACTGAAAGCGCTGGCAGTGCTCCTAAGGACTCGTTTCTGGAAGCTGGTGAGGGCTGTGTGAAGACCCTTGCTGCTCTTGCTGCCTCTGCTGCTGACAGCAGTGCTGATACCGCTGGTGCTGCTTCAAAGAACTTAGCCTCTCTAGAGGTGGCAGAGGGGCGGGTGAAAGAGCTTGCTGCTCTTGTTGCCGCTGCTGCTGCCAAGAGCAGCACTGAAAGCGCTGGCAGTGCTCCTAAGGACTCGTTTCTGGAAGCTGGTGAGGGCTGTGTGAAGACCCTTGCTGCTCTTGTTGCCTCTGCTGCTGACAGCAGTGCTGATACCGCTGGTGCTGCTTCAAAGAACTTAGCCTCTCTGGCAGAGGGGCGGGTGAAAGAGCCTGCTGCTCTTGCTGCTTCTGCTGCGGCCAACAGCACTGCAACTGCTGGTGATGCTTCGAAGGACTTGGCTAATCTAGATGTTGCAGAGGGGCGGGTGAAAGAGCTCGCTGCTCTTGCTTCCTCTGCACCTGCTGATGGCACTGCCACCTCCGCGGCTGCATCAAAGGATGTTTCTATAGAGGTTGCAGAGGGGCGAGTGAAGGCTCTTGCTGCTCTTGCTGCTTCTGCTGCTGACAACAGTGCTGATACAGCCACTGCTGCTTCAAAGGACTTGGCCTCGCTGGAGATTGCAGAGGGGCGAGTTAGAGAGCTCGCTGCTCTGGCTGCCTCTGTCGCTGCTGACAGCACTGCAACCGCCGGCGCTTCTTCGAAGGAGGTCTCTTTAGAGGTTGAAGAGGGGCGGGTGATGGCCCTTGCTGCTCTAGCTACCTCTGCTGGTGCTGCGCCTGCTGCAAGTTCTGCTGCCCTACCCCAGTCCTCCCAGTCTTCTCTCCCAGGTGCTATGTCTGGCAACAGCACTAGCAAACCCACGATGCTGTACAGCAATGACAAGAGCATCCAGCAGCAGCAGCAGCAGCATCTGCACTACCCTGCTCCCTCGCCCCGCCTCGTTCACCGTCCCTACTCCCCGTCACCGCGCTCAATCCCTCACTCCCCCTCCGCCCATCTCCCCTGCTACACGCGCTGCCCCTCCACCCACCTCGTGAGTCCCATTCGTCCCCGCGGTAGCTTCAGCCCTAGCAGGTTCCGGGCTTTTGATGCTGCAGCTGTAGCAGCAGCAGCCTTAGCAGGCGTATCCCCCCAGCGCCGTCGATCCCCATCGCCGAACCTCCCGCGTTATTCCGCCTCTCCTGGTGCCCATCCTAGTGGCCTTCCCATCCGAACCTCGTCCATGAGCCCGAGCCAGTCCCCCATGGCTCGAGGGGTGCCTAGGGAGCGGTTCGGGCTGCCGCCCAGGTTCGGCAGCAGTGTGAGGTTCGGTGGCGGGGCGAGGGACCCGAGGTTCGGAGAGTTCCGTGATTCGTCGAGGGATTTGGATTTCCGCGAGGGGGCGGGAAGGAGGGGGGCTGGAACAGGGGAGGTGGGAGGAGGAGCAGGAGGAGTTGGGGGTTTAGGAAGTGGAGGAGGGAGTGGGGGATACAGCAAATCTCGATCGTTGGATCGACAGATCAGAGCGGGATCTCCAGGCGGAATGCTGGAAGGTGGGGGGGATGTGCTTATAACGAAGGGCAGTAGTCGCATGGAGGGAGAAGGGCATGAGGAGGACGTGTTGGGGGATGAAGGGGAAAGCGAGGAAGGAGGAGATGACAAGGAGGATGACGAGGAGGAGGGAGAAGAGGGTCCAGCGAGTGAGCGCATGCAGACAGAAGGGCCAGCAGCTGCAGCAATGCCTTCAAGTGAGGCCAATGGCATTGGCAGCAGCGGCACGACATGGAAGGATATTCTTCTCTCTGTGAAAGCAGCGACTCAGCCCGGAGCAACTGCTCCCGGTTCGAATGCAGGGAGGCAAGAGGGTGCGGGTGCTGCTGCTCTGGCGGCTGTAGCGGCGGAGGTTGTAGCGGGAATGCACAGGGAAAGGGAGGGAGGAGTGGGTGGGGCTACAGAGAATGGAGAGTTAGGGTTTGGCGCAGTTGACGTAGTGGGAGGGACAGGAGGAAAGGTGGTGGGAGCGATTGGAGAGTTGCATGGGGACGGGTGCCGACAGGAGGGATGGAAGAGGGCGAGAAGCGTGGCGACTGGGGTGATGGCGACTGGTGGGGTGATGGCAGGTGGACAACAGCATTCGGTCATAGAGATCTCCAGGGGGATAGCAGAGGGAGGAGAGGAGGGAGGGATGGAGAAAGAAGAGGAGGCTCGGAGCAGGGACGGAGCAGTGGCTATAGCTGATACAGTGGTACAAGGGGAAGTTGTTGGGGAGGGAGGAGGAGCAGGAAAAGAAGCAGCAGAGGCAGAGGTTGTGGCTGCATACAGCAACATGGGTGGAGAGGGGAGAGGGGGGGAGGAGAAGTGGGGGGAGCAGAGTCCCATGAGGGAACTGCTGGGGGCGTTAGAGTCTCCCACCAATTGGGCTCGCCTGTGTGCCAAGATGGAGCAGCAGCGGCAGCTGTACGAATCTCAAGGTGTGTCTTATGTGGCAACTGTGTGCTTTCCAGTGGCAGAGGATAGGCCGTTGCATTGTCAAGCTGCTGGGGGCGTTGGAGTCTCCCACCAGATGGGCTTGCCTGTGGGCCAAGATGGAGCAGCAGCGGCAGCTGTACTAAGCCCAAGGTCTGCTCTGCTGATGCAACTGCGTGAAAGGCTTGTTTATTGCGCTGCTGCTACCCTGCATTCCTGTCTTGTTTATCCTGTTGTTACTCATCCTCCTTCCATCTCCTGGTCCTGCCATCCCCTCTCTCCTTTCTTTCGCTTTTCCCCGCAGACGACTCAAGAGCCACCCAGCTATCAGACCTGCCAGACGAGTTCATCATCCAGATCCTCTCTCGTCTCACCGACCCACTCGACTGGGCGGCGTGTCTTGTCCTATCCCGGCGCTTCGCCGCCCTCTCCTGCCTCGCGCTGCAAGCGCTCTACCTCCTTCCGAACCGCCTGCTCCCCAAGCCTCTGCTGGCTCGGTACCTAGCCTGTTACCCGAACCTGGCACTGCTGTACCTACCCTGGAACAGCCTGGGAGTGGAGGGGGACGATGTTTTCGAGATGATTGCTTCGGCCGGACTGGAGCTTCAGGCTCTACACATCGATGTGTTCCCTGGGTACAATGTAAGTTGGTGCCTCAGATTCCTGTACTGTTTTCTTTCATGGGTTTCCATGCGAGAATGCTTGCTGTTTGTGCTGTTGACGAGTGGCGTAAAATATTGTTCATGCTAGTTGCCGGCGCCTTTTTTTCTCTCTCTCTCTCTCTGTTTTCTCCTTCCTCCTGTCCTCCTGCATCTCATTGCTTCCCCACCTCTCTTGCTCTCCCTTTCTCCCCATCTCTCTTGCTCTCCCTCTCTCCCCGTCTCTCTTGCTCTCCCTCTCTCCCCATCTCTCTTGCTCTCCCTCTCTCCCCATCTCTCTTGCTCTCCCTCTCCCCCCATCACCAACAGGAGCGCTCTTATGCAAGAACACCAGCAGGCCTCACAACCCTCTTCACCGCCCTCCCCTCCCTCCGCTCGCTCGCCCTCTGCACCGGCCGATTCATCCGCTCCCTCCCAGCCTCTATCTCGCACCTCTCTCTTTTAGAGGAGCTGCTTATACTGAATCAGTCTTCGAAGCTTGGTTTACGGTCTCTTCCCCCTGCCCTCGGTCAGCTTTCAAATCTTCGCCGCCTGGTGCTCGACTCCTGCTTGCAGCTTCCCACGCTGCCCGAGGAAATCGGGCAGCTGACTGGATTGGAGGAGCTGGAGTTGCTGAGCCTGGATTGTTTACGCCATCTGCCCGAATCTATTGGGCAGCTTCAGCGCCTGAAGTGGTTCAAGATGTGCTGGTGCATGTCGGTCCGCAGCCTGCCCGAGAGCATCGGGCAGCTGAACGAATTGGAGGAGATGGTCATCAACATGGCAGCAAGTGAAACCTGGTTGGGCAGCCTGAAAGAGCTTCCGCAATCTTTCGGTCAGCTCTACTCCCTACGGTTCCTGAAGATTGTCGGCTGCCCGTTGATGCTGGATCTGCCCGAATCTTTTGGGCAGCTTTATCAGCTGGAAGAATTTGTTTTCGACAACAAGGGTTTTGCAGAGGAGTCCGAAGCGTGTGGACTTTTGTCCCTGCCCAATTCCTTCGGGCAGCTGACAAGTCTCGTGCGACTGGAGCTCCGCAACTGCTTCGCCCTCACCTCTCTGCCCGAATCTCTCGGGCAGCATCCGTACCTTTACTCGCTGAAGCTCATTGGCTGCTATTCTCTCGCCACGCTGCCCGAATCTCTGGGCAGCTCGGGCAGCCTCCAGCTGCTTTTAGTGGATAACAAAGTAGATGATGATGAAGATGAGGAGGATGGGGATGGGGATGGGGAGGAGAATGGGGAGGGGGAGGAGGATGGGATGAGCACAGTAAGCCATTCAACAGCCATGGACATGCGCATGAGCATGAACGGCACAGACGACACTGCTGCCAGTGACGATGGCGCGAGCACCGGCAGAAACGGGGATGCTGACGGGGACGACGGCAATTATGACAATCATGGCGACCGCGATTACAATGATGACGATGAGGAGGATGATGATGACGACGATGGTCCGAGCGGTTTGCTCGCCCTGCCGGCATCCATGGGCATCAACCCATCAGCCATGTGCAATCTCCGGCAGCTGGTCCTACGCGCCAACGTCTCCCTCACCGCCCTCCCGCCTGCCTTCTTCTCCCTCCGCCTCCTCGAAAGCCTCGTTCTCGACTTCACAGAGACCAGAACCCAAGGGGCATACTCAGACCTGCCTCTGAACACTCCCAGCCGCCTGGGGTCCAAATCAGCGTCTCATGCATCGCTCTCTGGTCTCGCTGCGGGGAGCAGTGCAGTTGGCATGGGCACGGGCAGCGATGCGGTTACCACAGAGACGGGCAGTGGGATAAATCCCTCTATGATGATCATTCTGCCGGCTGACTTGCCGGCCACACCAGAGTTGAAAACCAAGCCTGCTGGAATAGCTGAGCTTCCAGAGGAGATTTCCCAGCTGGTGAATCTTCGACGGTTGGATCTGATTGGCTGCTCAAGGCTTTCCAAGCTGCCCGAATCCCTGGGCAGCCTCCAGTTTCTGCAGAGGCTGGTGGTGGCGTTCTGTCCAGGCATTCAGGCTTTTCCAGCTGGTGTCGGGCAGCTGAAATTCCTCCAGACGTTTGTTGTTCAGAACTGCCCGAATCTGCGGTACCTGCCGGACTCGTTAACAGCGCTGGCTGGGCTGCCTGAGCTGTGTATAGATGAGAAGTCTGTGGGTGTGAAGATTCCAGAGCATTTGTTGAGGCTGCCTGGTTTCCGCCGTGACAGCTGTTTCTTTGAAGACCGCCTCTTCATTGACTTGGTTGAGTAAATTATTGTTGAGTTCTTGGTTGTGTCCATGATGTGATAGTGATACCTTTTACAAGCCTCTTGTTGTACAGTGTATGATGTTAAAACACTTATCTTTGTAATATTTTGCTGTCTGCAAGATCTTTGCATGGAGTGGAGAGTTATGGCATCACAATATCAATGCGGCTGGAAGTCACTTACTGTATGATTCCTACCACCATGCACCATCATAACCAGCACAAATGTTCTGCTGAGATGAAGTATCAGCAGACCCAGTGGTCCATACCACACAACATTCCATAGCCTTGTAAGGTGTGAAAAGGTTGGTTACATCCTGGAATTTGCCTTGATGTACGGGACCATGCCCTTAGGTGCCATTCGCGCTGCATGTGTCAATTTCGGTGTCACTTGTGGCACTGTCGGGACCAACGCCCCTGCTCCAACCGCGATCATCTCGGTCTGACATCCGTCCTGCCACTCCGCGCGTTTGTCGGAGACAGAATGTAACGCGCACGTTCTGAGGTTTGTTCTAACGCCGTGTCGATCAGGTGCTGCTGCTAGAGAAGTGCCATGCCATGACATCGCTTCCTGCCTCCATCGCTAACCTTTCCAAACTGCAGCAGATTGATCTCAAGTCTCTTCCTCTACTGACTCACCTGCCCGAGAATCTCGGGCAGCTGAAGGCACTGAATGAGTTGGGTTTGGATTCATGTAAAACCCTGCAGGACCTTCCTTCTTCCTTCACTCTGCTCTCCTCCCTCATGCAACTCAGCATCATCAACTGTCCAAAAATTACTTGTCTTCCGGAATCCCTCTCATGCTTCACCCGCCTTTTGTCTCTGAAACTCAATCGTCTTTCCAAGCTACGTTTTCTCCCATTTCCATTCTCGCTTCCATCACTTATTCAAGTCTCGATCCAAATTGCAAGGCGCTGAGGGACCTACCCAGCGACTTGGGCAGTTTGTCCTGTCTGAGGGAGGTGGATCTGGACGGGTGTACGCAGCTGAAGGAGCTGCCACACTCGCTGGAGGATGAATGTGATTACAGTGAAGGGTTCTTGGGGAAAGAGGTGGTACCGGTAATGTGGGTGGCGCTGTTTGGGAGAGATGGATAATGCATGGAGTGGAGGCTACTACTAGTGGAGCAAGATTGGCTTAGAGAAGCTGTGAGGGATCCTTTTACGGTACCATAGCATCAGTATTGACAGTTTAAGGCCCTTATCTAATAGTAGAGAGGTGTAGCACAGCAATAGCTTGCCTTGCCGGCAAACTCATTCGTTACCAGAATGTGATGTGCCGTCAGTTGGAACTTGGCATTTCTCTTGCACAACCAAGTCACTCAATTGGGAGTAAAGAGTGGCACCGCAGGAAATCGGGTGGGCTGGGCCAGATATATTGAAGCAATTGACACTACACGTTGTATTGCTTCACTTCAGGTCTAAACAGGATTTTTTTTTTCGGACTAATACCTATGGTTTTTTAGCAATGCCCTCTCTTCACCGCCTGGAACCGCTCACTATTCATTCCTATGAATTGCAGATGCTCCTGTGACAATATTCACGTTCAATATGGTTTTTTAGCAATTGCAGACATAAGCTGGTGTCTCTTTTTGAGCATGCACTCAACTTGAATGGTTCAAGCTGCGTCATTCCGAGAACGCACTACTGAGTGCCTCGATAACATCCCCAATGGTGGGGAAGTGCTCTCTCACGCTGGGAATGCTGGCAGCATCTGGACCCGCCACCAACGACGGGTAGAGCCAAGAGGAGACGCTTTTGATGAATATGTCGGATGAGGGGCAGAGGATGGACTCCCAATCCACCTGCACGCAGCATGGATGGGGGATGAGCGGATGGATGGTGAGCAGATGAGAGGGGAGTGGAGCCGGCACCAGCGATGGGTAGAGCCACAAAGAGACGCTTCTGATGAATATGTTGGATGAGGGGCAGAGGCCCAGTCAACCTGCATTCAGAATAGAAGGTATACGGATATGGAAGGCACATGTCCCAAGAAGTGAGGGTACTGACCTGCAAACCCATGTTAAGAACAGGGTATGGAATTGCACATGCCCTATAAATTGAGGTTACTGACCTGCACACCTTGGATAAGAGAAGGCGCTGACTTGCATCTCCCCGGTAAAGTGAGGGATCTTACCTACACTCCCATGAGAAAGGGCTGTGAGACTTGGAGGCCGACGGCAGCAGGAGGGTGAGGGTACTGACCTGCACACCCTTGACGAAGAAAGGGTACTGACCTGCACGCCCCTGGGAATGGGCTGCGAGACTTGCAGGTCGACAGCTAGCAGGAGGGCGAGAGTCATGACATAGCCGTTCATGGCTGTGCCGCGTGCCAAGGGCATGAAATTGTACCTGAGGTAATTGGTGGGCGGTGTGGGGGCAGGAGGGGATATGGGGACAGAGGGAGGAAGATTTGAGACGCATGAAAGGTCGACAGCCAGGAGGGCGAGGGTCATGACATAGCCGTTCATGGCTGTGCCGCGTGCCAAGGGCATGAAATTGTACCTGAGGTAATTGGTGGGCGGTGTGGGGGCGGGAGGGGATATGGGGACAGAGGGAGGAAGATTTGAGACGCATGAAAGGTCGACAGCCAGGAGGGCGAGGGTCATGACATAGCCGTTCATGGCTGTGCCACGTGCCAAGGGCATGAAATTGTACCTGAGATGAATGGTGTGGGGGATGGGGGGTAGTGGAGAGAGAGATATGGGGACAGGTGAAAGGTCATACCATAGCCATTCACGGCCGTGCCCCGTGCCAAGGGAATGAAGTTGTACCTGAGGGGGGTGGTGGGGAGGTAGGCAGGGAGAGGAGATAGAGATAAGGGCAGGGCATGCAGGAGAAAAAGAGACTCGGAATAGCACAGCCAGCAGGAGGGCGATGGTCATGACGTGGCAGTTCATGGGTGTGCCTCGTGCCATTCACCCACCAGTAGTAAGCCATTCATGCTATAAGATGTGACTAAGCACATGCCATGAGTCTCTAACACAACACCAGTGTCCACGCCTGCTCGGAATACGTGTAGGGCACAAGCTGTGGATTTTAGACCCACCAGCAGCAGAGCACTTGGCAGAATGATGCCAGGTTTTTCGAGCAGAGGTTGCAGAAGTTGGAAAAGCACATGCACAACACGACCCTGATAGTACGCGGCGACCGCATGACCCACCAGTAGCAGGCCAATTGCAGGATGTTGTCTTGAATGGCCACGTGGTAGGCCTGAGACGGTTTTTAAAGTGCCTAAAAAAAGCAGAAAGTGGTTACAGCTGATTCACGGCTCATTCGCCCACCAGTAGTATGCCATTCGCAGGATGTTGTCTTGAATGGCCTTGCGATAGGCCTGCGGGTCAGCGTCACGGAGAGACGTGTGTGCCACTGACAGACAGATGTCCTGTGAGGTGGAGAGGAAAGATTGGTGGGGGAGGGGGTGTGGAGATGGGGGTGATGAGAAATAGAGATAGGTTAAAGTCGAAATTGTGGGCAGCGAAAGGCAGAGACTGAGGGCCAGTGTCATGGAGAGACATGTGCCATGCCATGCCATGCCATGCCATGCCATGCCATGCCATGCCATGCCATGCAGCCATCTCCATGTCAAAGTCTCGCCAAGGACTGGGCGTCAGCTCAACGCCAAACACGAAATTGCCATCCGACACCGAAACACCATCAGCAGCACCATAGCACCTCACACACACCATCACAACATGCAAGCACCATCCCACCTTCCATGCAGCGGCCATTTCCATGTCAAAATCTCGCCAACGACTGGGCGTGAGCGGCGTGCGGATTGCAAACTCCTGCCCGGGGTCGCTGTGACAGGGAGTGGGTGGGGAGGAAGCGAGGGGGTGGAGGGGAAGGGGAGGGGAGGATCGCAAATTCCTGCCCCAGGGGGGGTCGCTGCTACAGAGGGGGGAAAGGGGAGGTATGGGTGGGGTGGTGCTTGCATTGGTGGCATTGACTGCTGCTACTTGTGAGGTCAGAGGAGAGACTTTTTCCCATGGGAAGTCTCACGCTGAGACTTTTTTCCCTGAGACTCTAGTCAGGTAACAGCTGCATAGGAAGTGTATGAGAGAGAGAGAGCTTGTGCGTGTGCAAGCACGCACGGGCGCACGCGTGTGTGTGCGAGGATGTGCATACGGAAGAAAAAGATGACTCACGTGGCGGTGATTGTGAGGCGAGTGCCGTTGAGCACCTTTTGAGCTGACTGACAACAAGTCATTGCATGTGGGTGTGGGTGTGGGTGTGCGCACATGCTGGTGCATGTGTGTGGGGGAAGGCCCTCTTGACTCACGTGGCGGTGATTGTGAGGCGAGTGCCGTTAAGAACCTTGCTGTTGGGACAATGGAGGAGAGGGGGGGAGAGAGGTGAGAGGAAGGAGAGAAAAGGAGGCTCAGTTCAGCATAGGAGAAGACAGAGGGAGAGTGGCATGAACAAAGGGGGGCAGTGTCACCGAATTTATTGGTGTTAGCAACACATTCAGTTACTCGCTTGTGGGGTGTAGGTGAATCATTATAATTACTGTAGAGAGTTAGGTTGGGGTTGGGTTCTTAGGTTGTGACGCGAGGGTGTTGGAAAAAGGGCGCTGCAAGGAGCGAGGAGGAAGATCTCAAGGGACAGTGGGCCTTGGGCGATTTGAGGAACCAATCCTGGAAGCCGAGTGACTAGAGCTCGATGTTGCTCTTGGAAACTTGGCGACACGGGTAGGTAATTCAAGTAGCCTAGGAACATACAACACAATCTCGTTCTCTCAATTGTTTGCTCGTAATAGTGGATATAGGTTGCCGTTTGACAGCTAACTCCAGCTTAGGCGACTAAGCCACTGTGGGCAGCCATTCGTGGGGGTGGCTTAGTACGAAGGGAACACGGAGCAGGAACAAGACAGCAACAGGGATGAGAAGGAGAGGGCAACAGGAGTAAGAGGGAGGGGACCAGGTGATGCAGAAGTTTCCGACAGCAGGCTTATTAAGAGAGACCGAGCATGCATGGCTCACTTGACCAAGGTAGGTACGATTTGGAAAGGGCAGGGCTCACTCACTCAGGAAAGGCGGTGCTTTTGCACGGGGTGAAAACGAAGAAGCCTCGCTGCACAACATGTCTTTTGGGTTGACTCAGAGGTCACTTTGGAGAGGGTCAGGCTTACTCAGGGAAGGCGGTGCTCTTGCAAGGGGTGAAGACAAAGAAGCCTTGTTGCACAACGTCCCAGAGCTGGTTGAAGTTAATTGCTCGGTCCACCTGACATGACAAGGCAGGAAGGAAGAAGGACGCAAAACATGTGAGTCAGAGCAGGTGCGCCTCGGATTGCTAGAGTTGACTTTTGAACCTGCAGGAGCTGGTTGAAGCTGAGTGCTTGCTTCTCCTGGCATGGCAGGAAGGGAAGGGGGGACAAGGAGGGGAACGAGGCTGGTGCGGACGTCCAAATACCACCTCCCTCCCCCCCACACACCCCCCCCGGCCCCCCCCACACACCTTCTCCAGCGCCTCGTGGCTGAGGGGAATCTCCTCGTCGCGCTCGCCATACACCTTGTGTGCTTTGATTCGACTCGCAATAAACACCCCCCTCAACCCCCCCACACACCCAAGCACCACACACCTTTTTCAGATCCTCTTGGCTGAGCGGAATCTCCTCGTCGCGCTCACCGTACACCTTGCCATGATGCAGCATTTCCTGCCGTACGATCTTGAACGCACTGTTGGTGATAAAAGACAAGATCGGGATTGGATGGAGGGTGGACACTGATGGGCCCATATGAGCGGATCAGCCGAACTCTTTGCATCACATCACTCATCACATAGCGAGATATACAATTAGAGGAATTGATTTGGTCTGGTGAAAAAGAATCTCACCGGTCAGCATTCATGGAGTATCGAATGTTTCGAGTCTGCCCGGACACCATCGGTGTGACCGAACCGAACCCGGTTTCAAATGCTTCCCGCCTGCCACGCCAAAGAGAGTGAGGAAGAGTGATGGGCTGCATTTTGAGACGTCTCAAAAGTGAGGAAGAGTGAGTGATGGGCTGCATTTTGAGACGTCTCAAAAGTGAGGAAGAGTGATGATGGGATCATGGGATGCTCGAGGAGAGAGACGGATGACTCATACACAATCAGAGGCCCAATGAAAGAAGTGAAAAAAAAAATGTAACAACACCCACAACTCACGTGAGCCCATCAATCCACACGATGGGGTCGTTGGGTTCAGATCGAAACATCACACACGCAGGTCACTCCCTCCCTCTTCCTCTCCCCCACCCTCCCCATCCAACCAACTGTCTACTGAAACAGAGAGAGACAACTCACGTGAGCCCATCAATCCACACGATGGGGTCGTTGGGTTCGGCAATCTGCCGCCATCTCACTCCGATGCCGTACACGTCCCTCCACCCCACCCCCACCCCCTCCTCCACCTCCTCCGCACTGCTCCCTCTGTCCACCTGCCCGCTCTTCATCCAATCCCGCCACGCCTTTCTCACTGTCTGCATGATGTCTAGAGCAGCCAGGCCTGCTGCTCGTTGCTGGGGAGTGTAAGAGAAAGGGGGTAGGGTGGTTGGGTTTTTGAGACATTGCCAGACTTCGTAACCCACCTGCCCACCCTTCATCCACTCCCGCCATGCCTTTCTCACTGTCTGCATGATGTCTAGAGCAGCCAGCCCTGCTGCCTGTTGCCGCGCAGAGCAGGCGGGAGGAGGAGGGATCGAGTACGGGACTGTTGAGGCGTCTCACAAGTCACTCGCGCCACGCCTTCCTCACTGTCTGCATGATGTCTAATGCAGCCAGCCCTGCTGCTCGTTGCTGCACAGAGCGGGAGGATGGGGGATGTGTTAAAGTAGTCCTCAATCTCAACTTTTGTATTTGTACTTCTATATCCTAGCGTGGTGTCATTTGAACTTTGAGTTTGGTTGCGTGTACACCCACATACATCCCACCCAAAACCAAATGAGATTGCCATGGGATTGCCCTCGATCCCCTAGGGATTATCCTTGATTCCCTCCCCATCCATACCTTGCTCACTTCTGATGTACTTAAAGAGCTTTGAGCTCATTACTAACAGATCACTTCAAGCTCAATTCTGCCAGGATGGAGTACTGGAATTTTGAGGCCTTACCTGCCTCAGGTTACCAAGCAACCCCGTGGTGTTGTACTGAACCAGCAGGCCAATCGCACCCGCTAGCAGCAGCAGCAGCAGCACCAGCAGCAGCAGCAGCAGCAGCAGCACCGGCAGCAGCCCTTTCTCTAGGGACTAATAATAGCAATAGCACTCACTCACCTGTTGCATGTTACCAAGGAACCCCGTGGTGTTGTATTGAACCAGCCGCCCAATCTCATCAGCCTGCTTTAGCAGGCACCAATTTCTCTAATCTGAGCGCTCAAGTTACCAACAACCGAGCCCTTACCTGCCACAAGTTACCAAGGAACCCTCTGCCATGGTGTTGTATCGAACCAGCCGCCCAATCGCACCGGCTAACGGCACCAGCGTCTCTTTTTCTAAGCACCTAAAGAGGACCAGCACTCACCTGTCGCATGTTACCAAGAAACCCCGTGGTGTTGTACTGAACCAGCCGCCCAATCGCATCAGCCTGCTTTAGCAGCGCCGCTCGGTTCGCCTCGAATCGCTTCTCCCCCTTGCGCCGGTGCTGCTGGCGCCGCACGCGGAACACTGCCTGAATGTCCTGCATCTGGTACCCTCTGGACGGTAGGTGCCCCGGAAACTGTGCATTCGCCCAGCCCTCCTGTGGTGGATGGGAGATGGGATATGTGCAGTGAGTGGGTAGTGAGGGAAGCATGGAGAGCAGGAACACTGCTTGAATGTCCTGTAGGGATACTGGACACAGGAAGCATCTCGTATTCCCTGGAGGGTAGGTGCACCCAAAACTGTGCATTTGCCCAGCCCTCCTGTTTCAAGGTGGAGGCGGGGGGGAAGGAGGAAAGAGGGAACATCAATGTATTGACCACAATGGAAGAATGAACACTGGAGAAATTGCCTTGCCTGGCAACGGGAATATGTTTGAAATAGAACAACAGACATGATTTTGACTTGACAAGAAAACGCAAGCTTGCCTTGGAGACGCGATTGAAACGGTCGTCGAGGCTGAAGTGAGAAAGGGAGAGTGAGGGAGGGGCGAGTGAGTGAGAGGTGCATGCATAGTGTGCTGTGCACATAATGGTTGGCAGGTGGGAAGACACGGATCTTTCCTTGAAATGGTCGTCGAGGCTGAAGTGAGAGAGAGGCGAGTGAGGGAGAGGCATGCATGGTGTGCCGTGCCATACACATAGCGGATGGTGGGTGGGAAGACACGGATCTTGCCTTGAAGACCCGATTGAAATGGTCGTCCAGGCTGAAGTGAGAGAAGGGCGAATTCACGTTGACTGCCATGTATGCCGCTATCTCACGCTGTGATGGGGAGCAGGGGGGAAGAGGGGGAAGAGGAGGGAGAGGAAGGAGAGAAGAGGGGAAAGAGAGGGGGGAAGGCTACGCTATTTGCAAAATGATTCCATCGACTGATTCCATCGACACATCTATTTGCGAAATGATGCACTTGCATAAAGCAACTTGAAGAAAGGCAGGGTACGAAGGAATCGAGCAGGAACACTCACAATGCAATGCAACAGGCACGTGGTTGCCTCGCCGTCTACTCTACTACGTGCATCTGCCAGGTGTTAGACGGCAAGGTAACCACCTGGCAGGTGGCTGAACGAAGCAACTAGGAACCTTCTCAGTGCACCTGGTAAAAGACAAGGTACCCACCTGGTAGAAAGAGAGGTACTGGAACCTCTCATCTCCAGACGTTTGCAGTGAGAGAATGCTGTCGTACAGCCTCACCTGATGGGGGGAGCAGGGGGGAGGGGGACGACAAGGAGGGAGGAGGGGGACAACAAGGACAGGTGTTGAGTTTACTCACAAGGAATGCGATGTACTGAAACCTCTCATCTCCGGATGGCTGAAGAGAGAGAATGCTGTTGTACAGCATCTCACCTGGCGGAAACACCTTCAGGAAGGTTATTGTTTCAGCCCCTCCTGCAGGAGTAGGGCGGGGGGGAATTGGCGGACAAGAGTAGACTCTGGTCCCTGGATGGAAGGCGAGGTACTTACTGGAATCTCTCATCTCTGGACAGGGTTCAGAGGATTGTTGAGTTGACTGAGGATGAAAGTAGTATTAGAAGTCAACAGCAGTCAACACAAGTCAACTCACGGCCTGTGAGAAGTCCCTCGTGGCATGGTAGCAGGAGGCCTCAAAGTATGCAACCCTTGAGATATCAAGTGCAGTCAACACTTGTCAACACAAGACAACGCAAGTCAATGCAAGTCAACGCAAGTCAACAAAAGTCAACACAAGTCAACGGAAATCAACTCACAGCCTGTGAGAAGTCCCCAGTGGCATGGAAGCAGGAGGCCTCAAAATATCTCAGCTCCACATTGCTTGGGTGGTGCTTCAGCCCCTCCTGCAGCAGGCGAATCACCCCGCTGCCGTGGTGGGAGCAAGGGAATGGGAAGAGTTTTACTTGGTATTTTGAGTGAAGAGTCTCGGGACAGCAAGATGGAACACACCATGATGTCAGGGTGGTGCTTCGGGCCCACCTGCAGCAGACGAATCAACCCCCTCCCTGCCAGGGTTGGAGCAGGGGAATGGGAACGGGGGTTAGTAAATGTTCAGGGTTCAGGGTATAGGGTTCAGGGATAGCAAGACCGGGCACGATACATCGTCAGCATGGCGCTCCAGCCCCGCCCACACCGCAGCAGCCGAATTACTCAACTGCCACACGGTGAGAGCAAGGGAATGGGAACGGGATAAAGTATGTTTCTAGGGTTACGGGTTCAGGGTTAGGGATAGCAAGGGGAACACAACACGGCACGCTGCTGCGGTGCTGCTTCGAGCCCACCGTCCCTCGTATCGTGCAGTGATCTGCCATGTGCAATTGGTCCTCAGGCGAGTCAAGGGTCAGGCGAGTCAAGGGTCAGGCGAGTCAAGGGTCAGGCGAGTCAAGGGTCAGGCGAGTCAAGGGTCAGGCGAGTCAAGGGTCAGGGCGATGGGTTTGTTAGCTATGTGCCACTGGCTGCATGCCGTTGGAGTTGGTAATCAGCAGCAAGAGTAAGGCTCTCCTTCCGGCCCAATCTATGCACATGCCAGTGCCCACCCCTACCCTTCTGCCTGACTTCTCACACACCTGTGGTCGCCGACGGCGTGCCTCAGCTTCGCCCAGAGCTTGTATGCCAGCAGGAAGCTGCATGCGGTGATGGGGAGGCATGGGTGGGGGGAGGGGGCATGGGGGTAGGCAGGCGCATGTTGGATCGACTCAGATGTCAGTTTCGCCCAGAGCCTGTACGCGAGCAGGAACCTGCAGTGATGGGAAGTCATGGGGGAGTACGGGGACATATGCGGAGGATATTATATTAGATACGGGGGTATTATAGGGTGTTATGAGGGCCACGGATATAGGGCATGTACACGTCCAGAGTTGGACTATCCCAATTGTTCCCCATATAAAGCTGCTCTATCCACTCACCCGTTATCCACCCTTAGGGCGCACTTACAGCATCGCTCTGACTCGTTGAACATGGCAGTCTCCTTCATCGTCTGCCCCCAGTTCGTCCATCCCTCCTTTTCCCCCCGCATCACTCCCCAACTATATACCCCATATAAGCCACTCCACTCACCCGCTATCCACTCCCAGAGCGCGCTTATAGCATCTCTCCGACTCGTTGAACATGGCGATCTCTTTCATCGTCTGCCCCCAATTCGTCCACCCCTCCTTCACATCTGGATTCATCGCCATGGCCGTCTCGTAGCTCTTCACTGCGTCAAAGGGTGCCCCTGTCGCTGTGAGTGCAAGTCCCTGGAGGAGTAAAGGCAAGTTGAAGGATACAAGGGAGTTGAGAGTGGTGAAGCCGGTCCCCTCTCCTTCATATCTGGATTCATTGCCATGGCAGTCTCGTAGCTCTTCACTGCTTCAAAGGGTGCCCCTGTTGCTGTGAGTGCCATCCCCTGGAGGCAACGGGAAGGGATACGAGGGAGTTGAGAGCGGTGAGATGGGAGGTGGGTCGCCTTGAAGGGGCCTGCCTGCCCCTCCTTCACATCTGTATTCATTGCCATGGCCGTCTCGTAGCTCTTCACGGCTTCAAACGGCGTCCCTGTGGCTGTCAATGCCAGGCCCTGGAGGCAATGGAAAGGGATACGCGGAGAAGAGGTCTGAAGAGCTGGGGAGCCATGGCCCTGGCTGGCAGCATAGAGGTCCGGCAGGGCGCTCATTTTGAGATGCCTCAACAATAGACTTACGAGGAAGAGGTGGGTGGGGCTTTAAGAGCTGGGGGCTGAGGTGTTCAGGACTCAATCAAAGTCTAGATTTTGAGAGACGCGGAGTTACACGTACAAGGAAGAGGTGCGGCTTGAAGAGCTGGGGGGCCATGGCCCTGGCAGCATAGAGGTCGGGCAGGGCACTTGCATACGCGTTGGCGTTCACATATGCCGCTCCTGCAAGAAGGAGAGGGGGAGGAAGGGGTGGGGACAGAAGGGAAGTTAGCAGGTATGGGTGGGTTGGTGGGTTTGGTTGACATTCTCCTTTTGCCGTCCCACCCTGGCAGCATAAAGGCCAGACATTGCGTTTGCATTGGCATTGACACTATGTATATCACCTCTCTCTCTATTATCACATCTGTATTGTCACATATCTACTCTCACCTCTCCCTGCTATCTCTCACCTCGTTCCTGTCTGGCTGTGGCATCGTTTGGATCCATTTCAATCACAGCCGTCCAATCAGCAATGGCCTGTAGGATTTGGTGGGGTGGCATAGGATGCAGCGGCATGCAAGATCGGTGAGCGAGTGTGACCATAAGAGGAAAGGATGTATAGGGAGTTGTTGAAACCTGAAAGTTGGATGGAATGGAGACTTGCTCTGTGCATGTAACATAAGAGTTAAATGCAAGAAAGAGTTGCTCCGTGCACTGCATTGAAAGCATGGAAAGTTTAGTATCTCCCTGCCACGTTTGGGCCAATCACAAAGCACACGAACCTCATTGTGTCGGCCCATTACCCCAAGCACCGATGCTCGTTGCCTGAGGATCTGCCGTTTGCGTCGACTCAACTCAAATGTCAAGTCACCCCCCATAGAGCCAGCACACATCTACGCCGCCATAAACGCCCCGCACACACACGCACACACCTCCTTGTGTCTTCCCAATATCCCAAGCACTGATGCTCGTTGCCTGAGAATCTGCCCTGCCTTGGGGGCCTGCTCTAGAGCCTGTGAGGGGTGTGGGGAGGGGGGCGGAAGTAAAGGGGTCAAAAGAAGTGTTTTGAGCAAGGTTAAAAAAAAACGTCGGTTTTTTTTTTCCTTTTTTTTTTTTAAAATATTATTATTATTATTATTTACCGTAAAAAACGGCACCGTAAAAAAGGGCCATAAAAAACGGTAAAAAACGGTTCCAGAAGGTGATTTTCGTTTGAAGAAAAAATCAGCCATTTTATGGGACCAAATTGATGGCGAAAATCACCAGGATGAAGAGGACGAAACCCTCCTTGCATGTGTGCATGTGTGGGCATGATTGAAAATGTGTCCGACCTGTTTTTGCCTTTTTTTGTGTGTGACAAGAGTTCTCTACCAAAAAAACGCCGTATTTTTAAAAATTTACCGTAAAAAACGGACCGTAATTTACGAAAACCGTATTTTTTAGCCTTGGTTTTGAGTCTACTAAGACCAGCCAGCTTATACTCTCAAACACCGATGCTCGTTGCCTGCGGATCTGCCCCTGCATTGTGGTGGGGAGTGCTGCTCTGGAGCGTTCGGGGATAAGTGGCAGCCCCTACACACAGATCCATCTTGGTCGCTGAGTGCTTCATTGCACATATCCACTTAGCAGCCTAGCAGCCTATTAGCACGCAGCACTGACACTCTTCCCACCGCCACATACCTTGTTGAAATCGCTGAGTGCCTCGTCGTAATGCTCTGTGAAGGCATGCGCCACGCCATGCCACGCCAGCAACCACCAACCACTGCCATTTCTTGAGTCAACTCAATTATTCAGCACTGGCTGCCCCACGCACACACACACACACCTTGTTGAAATCGCTGAGTGCCTCCTCGTAGTGCTCTGCAAAGGCATGCGCCATGCCACGCCACGCCAGCAGTACCACCGTCTCCTGTGCTCCGACCTCCTGCAGCTGTGGGGTGAGCGGGTGGGTGGGCGGGTGGAGTAGGGATGGCAAAGGGAGGGCGTGAGTGGGGGCGCGAGGGGTATGAGGGGGCAGCACCACCACCGTCCCCTGTGCTCCGATCCGATTTCCTGCAGCTGTGGGCTCAGACGGAGGGAGGGGCGTGAGGGGAGGGGAGGGGTGGGTGGGGGTGTGAGGGGTCATGAGCGAACCAGCACCACTGTCTCCTGTGCTCCGACCTCCTGCAGCTGTGGGTTCAGGTCAGAGGGAGGGGCGTGAGAGGCGTGAGAGTGGACCGAAGATAGCAGCATGGTGTTGTGGAATGAACAAAGCATGACATGGCGTGGCATGGCAAGGCACAGCACAACACAGCACAACAGAGCACCCCACCACACAGCACAGCACCGCACCGCACAGCGCAGAGCGTGGTACCTTGGCAAAGATGGGGAATGCGTTCTTGTGGTCGCCCATTTGCACCTGCCACGGGGGAAGGAGGCACGGCACAGAGGCGGGTGGATTATTGAGTTGCCCACTAAAAAGCATGGATGCGGAATGCGCTGCTGTGGTTGCCCAGGGAGCATGTGATTGCTTATGGAGGAGTCAGCACAGCGCATAAGAAGACGTGAGATGGCACCAACTGACCCCCATTCGCATCACACCAATTCAACCCCCTCGCCTCGCATCATACCAGCCTAATAGCCGCTTCCAGAGCCGATGACGCATCAAACGTCTGATCCTCCTTCCCTCCTCCCCCTTTTCTACCACCTCGTCTCCCCTCCTCCTTCGCACCACCAATCCCCCCACCTCCCGCCCGTCTTTCACTCCTCTCCTCTCCTCTCCCCTTCCTCATCTCTTCACTCCTCTCCTCTCGCCCCTGCCGCCCTTGTCTCCCCTGCCGCCCTGCAGATGCCTCCTCTTCCTGCTTCCTCCTCTCTCTTTCCCTCTCCTGTTCTTCCCTCCTCTGGCTTCTCCTCTCCCTCCTCGATCTCCCACTCTCGTCACCTCCACTCCTCTCTCTTTCCGCAGCCCCTCGTCTACCCTCCTCCCCTTTTCCCTCCCTCCCACCACCCCTGTCTCTGCCGCCCACCCCCTCCTCACTGGATGGCATCGTTCGTCTGCTAGCCCTTCGGGCAGCTCTATCTGCCCGCCTGCTTCTCTCCCGGCTGAACTCAATACATAGAGCAGCTTCGTTGCCAGCAGCAGCAGCGGCAGCAGCAGCAGCAGGAGCAGCAGGAAGGGAAGCCCTCGTTAATACCACCCTCGGCATCCTCATCCTCGTTATAGGCTTCATCGTCAGCGGTGTGAGGGATTTGGAGAGGGGAGGAGGAACCAGAAGAGGGAGAGAGGAGGAAGGATGTGGCTGGTGGTAGGGCGAGGAGAGAGACGTCTGGAGGAGGGGAGGATGGCGAGGGAGAGGGAGATGGGGGGGAAAAAGATGAGCTGAGAGTTTTAAGGGACATTTCTCTGGATAATGAGTATGTAGAGCAGGGCTCTGGATTTCTGTGTTCGGGCCCCTCTCTATTGATTCACTTCCTTCCCCTTTCCCAACCCAACCCCCCCACCCTGTTTGCCCTTAAACACGCTTCTTGCACTCTCCCCTCCCGTCCCTTCCCCCCCTCCCCCTCCTCCCTTCCCGTCCCGTCCCCTCCCATCCCCTCATTTCCCCCGCGCACCCGATTTGAGGAAGGGCGAGGGACACGTGGCACGCCACGGGCTGCCCTGCAGCAGCCCCTCACTCCACGGCTCAGACAAAGACAATGGCGCACGACCAATCACAGGCATCCAGCTGGCGGATAAGGATTACGGGAAGCGGGGAAGGGGGTAGGGGCGAGGGAGGGGAGGTGGAGCGGGGGAGGAACAGATCTGGGGACGTCATGATGACGTAAGACAGGTCTGCAGAACCGGGGAGGAGGGTTACGACCTCTACAGTACAGCCAGGGTTTGGGCCGCACCAGGGGGTCTGTCCTTCCCCTCTACCTTTTTACCTAAGACGGAACGGCAGAACTATGTGACGACAGCAAGACACAATTATTTCGTTGACCTACCATGTGGCATGTCCACATTCGGCGTACCTACTTCACTGGTGCGAAACAAATGAGTCCAGATACGATGTATCGGTCCATGTACGACGTTCCAGGCGGTTTGCTAACCTTAGCTGGCTCGATTTTTCTGATTTGACTCGGTTGACTTTCTTGACCTCTTTCGGAGATACTCGAAACTTCTTTTACGCGTTGCCCTAGTATGCCTCCCCACCAACAGTCGTGAGCGCACGCGACGGGACTAAGAGATTGAGCCTAGCGGAGTAGCTAATGAAGAGGACACCCTGTGTGCATCCCACCCACCTCAGTTGGCCGGCGACGCTCTGAAAGTCGCGCATTGTCGCAGCGACGGCGCTCGTCGCGCGAATAGATACCCGCTCGCCGCATTCTGCGGGAGAGGACGACGCGACGACTGTCCGTGCGACATGCACGGAGCCTGCGACGGTATCGGCGGGCGAAGGCGACGCTCGATACAAGTGGCAGAGGGTCAGGTTGAGCGAGAGACAGATAAACGACGCCGCGGCTGTCGCGATAGGAACGCCCATTGCTGGCGTTGTGAATGAATGGCGGGACTGATTAGGGACACAGTTCAGCGCATCCCCGATATTTTTATCCTGCTGCTCCGTCTAAGATCGCATTCCTGGCTCGGACACCATCCGAAGTTCGCCCACCTGAAGGGTTTTTGGCGTGAGGATGGTGTCCGTGTGGGGTAGGGCCCCACCTCGGACATTGGCATGCGACCGCTATCGCGCGCGTCGCCGAATGGCATCGAGACGCTGTTTGGGTTCGCGACCAATCAGAGACTGACGCTACATTTGCTCTAGCGTCAACTTCCCACAGCCAAAACTGACTGTCGGGCACAGCAAAATATATATGGTAAGGGCGCGTGTCCTTGAGGTTGAACTTTGGCCCAAAGTTGAACTTTTAGAAAGGTTGTACGCGGTAGGATACAGTTGAGAGACGTGTCGTCACGTTACAAAGCGGTACTAGGCTCGAACTTTGACAATCTACACCAAAAGACACGCGCCCTAATCAATTTTGAGCTGTTTGATCAGAACACATGAGGTACATTATAAATTTATCTGGATTGGGCAGCAAAACGAGGAAACGCGCCCGCAGCCCAACATTACAGAGACGAAGGTGATGATGTGTAACGAAATCACTGGTTTGTTGAAAAATCGCGCAGTTCAGTAATTGACGTGCACGTCGGTCGCACGTTCAGTGGCCGACTGAAACCAAAGTGTCCAGACTTCGGACCGCGTGGGGCAACATTCAAATGTACATTTTCGAAATTGCGGACCGCGTGGCCAAACTTTGGATGGTGTCCGGGCCAGGAATATACCGTAACATGAGACTTGCATATCTGAACTTCAATTCCAGTCTGGTCAAGATCATTCGATATTGGGAGTGACGATTTCCCTGTCCAAATTGCAGTTCGGAAAGGCTTCGTATGTGTAAAAGAAAAGGGGTTAGAAGTGGTCTGTGATGCTTAACCCATTAGTGATTAATATCGGGCTGCCTTGTAGTGCACCATGCTCAACCCACCCCTCCAGAATGTTACCCTATTTCTCAACTGTTCCTAATCTAGATCAGCTGGGTACGGGCGCTCTCGTTCATAACACCAAGTGAAAGTACAGAGAAACAAACAGCATGTCATCCCCAGAGCGCCGCTGTAAAAAGAAATAAACCTCGTTTCAACTCTCCTCTTTATTTTGTACCCTGGGAAAAGGCAAATCCCCAGCTCAGAGACACTGAGACGAGTTTCCAAAGCAGCTGCACTCCTTTAAACCGTTCCAGGAACACGCTCTAGCTATGCTCTTCCATCCTCTTGTCAGTGCTATTGATTTCCTCGAAGGAATTGTTGAGTTTCAGACGATGTCTGATGAGCAAAACACCGATGCTCCTCCAATCACGTCCATTCGACCACGGGTTTCTTCGCCATAGCTCAATGCTGATCTGTGATAACTCCAGCGAGCCAGTGTGCTGCCATGTCACGCGTGCAAGCCGCGAATGCTTCGTCGAACCTGGGATAGTTCAGTACCTATTGCTTGTGCGTCTTGCCGTCCTTTCCAAAAATGGCACATCGAGGCGCGACGAGCGAACGGTTTTCAGTTATAAAACGCGACTCTTGATTCTCGATAGTTCTCATCGCGGCAACCAATCCTTCACAGGCTCGCATCTCTTTCAATTCTCATTCCTGAGCTCGCGGATTGTCGACCTTACCACTCGCCAGTTGCTCTACCCTCTCGGCATTGGTGATTAGATACCCCGTTCTCATGGCATCCCGCAGGCTCCTCCTCCCCATCGTCCTGCTCGTCCTATTCCTCGGTGCTGAAGGTTTGCGCGTTTCTGTCATACGCATTACCAACCGTAGACACTAATTTTCTTTATCATGTTTTAGGCATTACCCCGTATCAACCTTCAGTTACTCTTCGCCAGGAAGCTAAGTTACTTTTTCCTCCCCGATGTTTCACAGGTGGCCGTCCCAGGTATATCCCCCGCACAAGAAGGGCTCTGGAGAACCAAACATCCTCACTCCTCCTCCCTTCGTCCGGCCACCGAGCCTTTTGAGACGCTGCACTTGGACGTCTGGGGCCCCTCTCCTCGCCCTGGCCCTGAGCGTGAGCGTTTCTTTTTGGTGGTCGTTGACGACTACTCCCGCTACACCACAGTGTTCCCCCTGGCGAGGAAGTCTGAGGTGACTTCTACGCTGATCAGGTGGTTGCTTACCACCCAGGACACTCGTGGTCGTCGTGTCAGCTGTCTCCACTCCGACCGCGGGGGCGAGTTTCGCTCCGGCATTCTCGCTGGATTCTGTCGCGAGCAGGGCATTCGTCAGTCCTGGACGCTTCCGGAGTCCCCACAGCAAAATGGGGTTGCTGAGCGTCGCATAGGCCTGGTCATGGAGATTGCCCGCACCTCCTTGACTCACGCCCGTGCCCCCCATTTCCTGTGGCCATACGCGGTCAGGTACGCCGCGCACCAGCTGAACCTCTGGCCACGCGTCTCTCGGCCGGAGGCTTCACCGACCAGTCTTTGGACAGGGTCCCCTGGTGTCGCGTCGAGGTTTCGTGTCTGGGGGTGCTTGGCTCTTGTCCGCGACACCTCCGCGGACAAGCTCTCGCCTCGCGCCGTTCCTTGTGTCTTCCTTGGTCACCCTGAGGACTCCTCTGACTTCACCTTTTACCACCCTCCCTCTCACCGGTTCTTTGACTCCCGTGACGTCCGTTTCGAGGAGTCCACCCCCTACTACGTCAGGTACCCCAGTCGAGGTCTCCCGGTCCCTCCCCCCCCTCTCTTCCTGACCGCCGCTCCCCCGCCTGCTCCCCCGGTACAGCCTCCCCCCCCTGGTCCAGCCCCGTCTGGTGTGTCTCAGGCTAGCCCTCCCCCTTCGGTAGCCCCCCCTGTACAGCCTCCCTCCCCACAGTCTTCCTCGCCGCCTCCTGCAGGTGCTCCCTCTCGGGAGGTTGGTCCTGCGACTGTCCCTGTACAGGTCTCTGGTTCTGGGGGTGCTGGAGTTGGAGCTGAGCCGCGGGTTGCAGAGGACTCTTGTCTTCCGGGGGCTGGTACTGGTCGTGCGGAGTCTGGGGGTGCTGGTGCGGAGTCTGGGGGTGCTGCGTCTGGGGGTGAGGGTGTCCCTTCGGTTTCTGGAGAGCCTGGGTCTGGAGCTGGTGTTGGTGCTGCCTCTGGGGGTGGTGTGCTTGGTGCTTCGGAGGTCGACTCTGGGGCTGCCGCTGCCCCGGACACTACTCCTTCCCCCCACCCCTACCCGACCAGGTTCCAGGCTCGTGTTCGCCGTGCTCGTGAGGAGCAGCTGGAGTTGGAGAGAGAGGAGAGAGAGTTGCAGCGGCTCGAGGAGCAGGAGCGACAGCAGCAGGAGCAGCAGCAGGAGCAGCAGCAGGGGCAGCAGCCGCTGGAGCAGCAGCAGCCGCAGCAGCCGCAGCAGCAGCAGCAGCAGCAGCTGCTGCCGTCTCCTCCTCCTGTCTCGGGTCTTCGGACCCTTGGTCTCCCGTCTCCCTCTCCTTCCTCCTCCCCCTCTCCTCCCGTCTCTGGTCCTCCGCTTCCTCCTCCTGACCCCTCTCCCGCTGTTTTCCCTCGTTCTCAGTCTTCGTTGTCTCCTCCTCCTTCTCAGACTTGGGCCTCTCGTCGCTCCCCTCGTGCTCGTCCCTCGTCTCCTGTTCCCTTCACTGACCTTCGTACAGCCTTCCTTTGTTCTCGTCCACCTCGTCCGTCTCCGTCTGTGCTTCCGTCTCCTCCTGAGTCGGCCCTCACTGTGTCGCTTCCTTCTCCTGTCACTGACTACTACCGCACGTACCGTCCTGTTCTCTCTCGTGTTCTCGCCTCTCTTGTTACCCACCCTCGTGCCTCTGTGTCCTCTGTGTCCGCTCTTACTGCCGCAGTCACTGAGTTTGCCTCTACCCGCCGCCTTGACTTCGCCACCGCTCTTGTGGCTGCTCCTCCTTCCAGTCCTCTGGCCGTCGGGGGTGTGTCTGCCCTTGGCTGTGACGCCCTAGAGGACAGGCAGTTTGAGCTAGAGTTCCTGGCGGCCGCTTCCCCTCATCTCTGTGCCATGCTCCTCGCCCCTGAGGGTGACCCCGACGCCCTTGACATTCCGACTCCTCGCACTTACGCTGAGGCAGTGTCAGGGCCTTGGGCCTCTCAGTGGAGAGCTGCCATGGACGCAGAGATGGCCTCCTACAGATCCACAGGCACCTACGTCGATGAGGTTCCCCCTCCGGGGGCGAACGTAGTCGACGGCATGTGGATCTACAGGGTGAAGCGGCCACCGGGATCTCCTCCGGTCTTCAAGGCGCGCTACGTGGCTAGAGGTTTCAGTCAGCGCGAGGGAGTTGACTTCTTTCAGACCTTCGCGCCCACCCCGAAGATGACCACTCTTCGGGTGTTACTACACGTAGCAGCACAGAGAGACTACGAGTTACACTCTCTCGACTTCTCTACTGCTTTCCTTCAGGGCAGTCTTCACGAGGAGGTCTGGTTGCGTCGTCCCTCTGCCTTCACTGGCTCTTTCCCTCCTGGGACCCAGTGGAGGCTGAGGCGACCGGTTTACGGTCTTCGTCAGGCTCCTCGTGAGTGGCACGACACCCTGCGTTCTACCCTGTCTGACCTTGGGTTCCAGCCGTCTTCTGCTGACCCGTCGCTGTTCGTTCGTCGTGGCCCCACACCTTTCTTTGTTCTGGTCTACGTTGACGACCTTGTTTTCGCCACCCCTGACAGGGTTGCTTTGGCACACGTGAAGTCCGAACTGCAGAAGAGACACACCTGCACTGATCTTGGTGAGCTGCGCCACTACCTTGGCCTGCAGATCACCAGGGACAGAGCTGCTCGCACCATTACACTTTCACAGTCACACATGGTGCAGCAGGTCCTTCAGCGGTTCGGGCTTCAGCACTCCACAGTACAGCGCACACCTCTTGCTGTTGACCACAGACTCACTGGACCCTTTCCTGACGAGCCGTTCGAGCCTAGTGGTCCCTACGCAGAGCTTGTGGGTTGCCTCATGTACCTGATGACTTGTACTCGCCCG